GAACCCAGGATGTTTTTCCATTTAATTAGGTTTTCTCTTCTTTCAGCAGTGCTTTGTAAACTCCAGTGTAGAAGCTTCACACATGTGTATTTTTCAGCTCAGGATGTAAAAACAAAACCATAGGCTGGGCCACGCAGAACCCCAGAATTCAGTTTTCTCACAGCTCCGGAGGCCAGAAGTCCCAGGGAAAGGGCCGGCAGGGCCCCCGTGTCCTCAGGCTCCTTGTCTCAGCGCTTGGGGGCAGAGCAAGGGTGCACGTGCGCTCGCTCTTTTTTTTTTGACCATGTTGCCTGCAGGATCTTTTTTCCCTGCCCAGCGATTGAACCTGCACCCTCAGCAGTGTGTCCTAACCTCTGGACCTCCAGGGCAGCCTCAGGAGCTCTCCTCATTTGGGACACGGATGCTGTGAGCTCAGGACTCCACTCCGTGACACTGTTGAACCTCAATTACCTCTTATACTCTCGGCACGATGTGGGGGCGTCCATGTGTGGATCTGGGTGGGGCGAGGGGATACCAGCACTGAGTTTGTAACGGCCACCTTGCTTCAACATACCCTAGACATTTTCATCTTCTCAGTGGTAACTATAAATGGGATTGTTTGCTTCATTTCCTGTTTGGGCTCCCTGTCGATCATTGTTAGCGTGCAGAAATGCAGGTGACGTTGGTGTGTTGCTTTTGCTTCTAACGGTGTGTGTGTCTGAGTCATCTTAGAGTCTTCCATGGGTACGACCAGGCCAGGTCCAGACCGAGGCGGTTTCATTTCTCCCTGTCTAGTGGGGATGCTTTATTTCCTTTGCTCGCTTGAGTGCCCTGGCCAGAGCTACCAAATCTTGAATTGTGGCGGTCTCCAACCTTTTTGGCGCCAGGGACAGGGTTGGTGGAAGACGAGTTTTCTGGGTGGGGGTGGTTTGGGGATGACTGAAGCGCCTTATCAGGATCTGATTTGACGGGAGACGGAGCTCAGGCGGCGCTGCAGGCAGTGGCCGGTGGTGTGGATCTCCTCCATAGAGGCGGTGTGCCTGACGGCCAGTGGGGTAGTTTGTGCTCTTGTTCTGCACAGTCTCTGCATCCCGGGTGGTGTCACCTCCCTTTGGGAGAGTCCTGTTGCAGGTACACAGTGGGAACTGGCCTTGTGGCCACGTATTGGACGGAACATGTGGACTCAGCCCTGGTTCACAGTGAGGGAGCTGGGTGGACGCCAGCCTGGAGACGGGGCGGCCTTGACTAGACAGCCTGCTGCCCTCTGTGGGGCTCCTCCCGGGGTGACTTCTGCTCTGTGACGGGGGTGGGGGTGTTGTCTCGGCGAGTTCTGGCTCAGGCAGGGTCCTTTATCTGTCCCCGCGTTTCCTGTCCTTGGCCTGTGTGTTACACAAGCAGTCTGTGGACTCTCGAGTCTCTGGTTCTCGTAATGCGCTGCAGACTGCGTTTCGGCGTGTGCAGGCGGGCTGTCTGCGTAGCATGGCCTGTTTCTCTTGTTCACTACATGCCAGCAGCCGCCTTTGTCCGTGGGACGACCTCGGGCGCTTTGAGCCTCTCCAGGAGGGACAGCCCTGCTCCTGAGTCAGCCTGCTTCCTCTCCGCGGTCTCACTGGGAGGCAGAGACCACGCACCTCGTCCATTAAAGAGTGCAGCTCAGTGGCCTTCGCTGTGCCTCCTCTGTCACAAGGGTAGAAGGGCTTGTCATCCTCGGCGGTCTCCCGTTAGCGTCGCCCCAGTCGCCCGGGCACTGAGCTGCCCTGTGTGTTCGCTCCTGCTCCATGCTTGCGCCCACAGGCTGGGTCTGCCGCGCAGCCTGTCATGTCTGGTCTCTTCCCTGCTGTGGCACGTGTGTGGACGCCACCCTTCCGTGCGCCAAGTGGCCCTGCGACGGCTCTCCAGAGTTTACTGGTCCGTCCGCCGCTTGAGAGGCGCTTGATCGTCTCCACGGTTCGGCTGTCATGAGTAGCGTCGCTGCGGACATTCACGAGTGGGGTTTCCTGTGGACTCTGTCTTCACTTCTCAGGGTGCCGGCCTGGGGTGGGGTTGCAGAGCCCTGTGCTGGCTCTGTGTCTGGTGCTTTGACGGGTGCAGGCTATTTCCACAGCGGTGGCACTGTGCGACCCCCACCGCCGCACGGAAGCGTCCGGCTTCTCCACCTGCTGACTCCAGCTCGCTGGCGTCTGTCTGCTGTACAGCGCTCCTCGCAGGTGTGAAGTGGGTTTTGGTTTTGTTTTGTTTATTTTCTGGCCTTGCCACCCAAAATGTGGTATCTCAGTTCCCCGAACAGGGATCAACCCGCCTGCATTGGAAGCCCGTTGGCAAGCGCTGAACCTCCGGGGAAGCCCCTGTTGTGGCTTTCGTGGACTTTTTCCTGAGGGGATGATGAGTCTCTCTCCCATGTGCTTGTTGACCATTTATGTATCCATTTTGGAGAATTATCTGTCCATGTACCTTATCCACTATAAAACTGTGTTAGTATTCGGTTGTAATTTCGTTTTTAAAAGCTGTGTGACGAGTTTTTCTCTCCAAACGAGGACCTGTTTTATTTCCACGTGAATGATCGTGCATTGATCCTGCCTGCTACTCGCCATGGGGTCCTCAGGCGTCCGCTCACTTTGCCCCCGGATGCTGTGGCTGGTGGCTGGGCACTCTTTTCTGTGGAACAGACTCCAGCCTGGTTCTGGAATCCTTGTGTTCTAGGTACGTTAAACTGTTGTTTGATGGAGGACATTCTTGGCCACGTTCAAGAGGACAACATGAACACTGGTGTTGATGATCCAGGGTCAAGAGGAGAAACGGATAGGTTAGCCGTTCCGTTAGCAAATGTGAGGCCAGTTCTGGGGATGCCTTGGGTCCCTGCACTCAGGCATCACCCGGACTAAGAGAGAAGGAAGGCTGCTTCTGCCTTGAGAACGCAATTGGTGACCGTGACCTCATGGCTTCCCAGAGTGGGTGCTGCTCCCGGAGCAGCAGTGCCTGCCAGTCAGTCCAGACACTCCTCACAGGTTTAACACGTTCTCACCCGGAAGTGGGGAGGGGTGAGGCATCGGGCTGCGTCTGCCAGGGGCACACGCTGCTACCCTAGCGAGGGCCGGGTGCCACGGCAGGGTGAGGGGTGATGCCAGCAGCAGGGTGTGTGCATGCAGGAAGCCTGAGCCTGCCCACACCCCACGTTCTCTCCCGAAGACATACGTTTCTCTGACGTTAGTAGCTCTGGAGGCTGGGTCCTAGAGAGCAAGTGTGACCCTCCGTTTGAGCGGGCACAGACTTGCGGTCCCTTGACCATGAGCACGCTGACTGGTGTGCATCCAGACAATGGAATAACTGTCGTTGTTCAGTCGCTAAGTCGTGTCTGACTCTTTGCGACTCCGTGGACTGCAGCACGCCAGGCCTCCCTGTCCATCACCAACTCCCGGAGTTTATGAAAACTCATGTCCATTGAGCCAGTGACGCCATCCAACCATCTCACCCTCTGTCGTCCCCTTCTCCTCCTGCCCCCAATCCCTCCCAGCATCAGGGTCTTTTCCAGTGAGTCATCTCTTCGCATCAGGTGGCCAGAGCACGGGAGTTTCAGCTCCAGCATCAGTCCTTCCAGTGAATATTCAGGGCTGATCTCCTTTAGGATGGACTGGCTGGATCTCCTTGCAGCCTAAGGGACTCTCAAGAGTCTCCTTCTGAGTATCTCTTGAGTTCCTACTTTTGCATTCCAATCCCCTATGATGAAAAGGACATCTTTTTTTGGTGTTAGTTCTAGAAGGTCTTGTAGGTCTTGATAGAACTGTCTGATTTCAGTTTCTTCAGCCTCAGTGGTTGGGACATAGACTTGGATTACTGTGATAATGAATGGTTTGCCTTAGAAACAAACCAAGATCATTCTGTCATTTTCGAGATCGCACCCAAGTACTGCGTTTCAGACTAGTGTTGACTAGGAGGGCTAGTCTATTTCTTCTCTGGGATTCTTACCCACAATAGAAAACATAATGGTCGTCTGAATTAAGCCCATCCCATCCATTTTAGTTCACTGATTCCTGAGATGTTAACATTAGGTTAACATTCAGTTAATTGCCATCTCCTGCTTCACCACATCCAGCTTACCTCGATTCACGGACCTGACATCCCAAGTGCTTATGCCGCATTTGTTCTTGACAGCATCAGAGTTCACTGGCACCGCCAGACGCGTCCACAGCCGAGCGCCGCCCCTGCGCTGGCCCCAGCGCACCCTTCTCTGCAGCTGTCAGTCGCTGCCCTCTGCGGGAGCGTATTGGACACCTTCCGACCTGGGGGCTCGTCTTCCGGTGTCACAGCTTTCTGCCTTTTCTTACTGTCCATGGTGTTCTCCAGACAGGAATACTGGAGTATTTTGCTGTTCCTTCTCCAGTGGACCACCTTTAGTCAGAGCTCTTCGTGTGACCCGTCTGTCTCGTGTGGCCCTGCGCGGCATGGCTCAGCTTCATTGAGTTACTCAAGCCCTACCTCCACGACAAGGCTGTGATCTGTGACGGAGAATGGAATAAACCTGGGCTCCAAAAAGGAGCGCTCTGACAAGCCACAGAGGACCCTTTTAAACGCTTTCTGAGTGAAAGAAGCCGGTCTGAAAGGCTCCGCGCTGTGTGATTTCAGGCAGAGGGTGCAAGGTGGCTCACAGCATCCAGCACCGTGACAGGCTGTCTGCGGGGTGTGGCCTGTGGGTGACGATGTCTCGGCCCCTCACTTGTAACGCGGGGGTGTTGGTGCTTGGGGAGGCTGTGTGTGTGTGTGCGTAAGAATTCTGTATCTTCCTCTCGGTTTTGCGGCAAAGCTACAGCTACTAAAAGAAAATAAAGTCTATTTTTTAAAAAACGTAGAGAGGCCAGGGTGTCCATCTCAGGCACCCTGCTCTAAGAATACTAATTATCATTCCCCTGGTGGTGATGAGGCCTCAGTTGATATAACCTGTTGAATCAAATGAAGTGTTTTCGAGGTAAAACCCTTGGAGCCATCTTGTCTCAGCTGCAGGCTCACGCTGGTCTCCTTCCCTGCAGGACAACCCTCCCTATGATAAAGGGGCCTTCAGAATTGAAATCAACTTTCCAGCAGAGTACCCCTTCAAACCACCGAAGATCACATTCAAAACGAAGATCTACCACCCGAACATCGACGAGAAGGGGCAGGTCTGTCTGCCGGTAATTAGCGCTGAAAACTGGAAGCCGGCAACCAAAACCGACCAGGGTAAGGCGCCCGTCCCCTCGGTGCCAGCGGGCTGGGGGCCCGGGCAGGCCCGGGGCGCTGACCCCGCGCACCTGGAGGCTGCCGCTTCCCGCTGTCCCACGGGCGGACGCGCTGCCACTCAGCTCCAGCCTGCGAGAAGGCTGGAGTGTTCATGAAGGACCGGGGGCTTCATAGAGGGGGAGCGGCCCCCCAGCGGGTCACGTGTGGGCTCAGGAGGAAGGTGGGAGAGAAGGTGCTGGGGCCCGTGGACTAAGGAGAGGGCGTGAGCCGGAGGGGTGAGGCAGGCCACAGGGTGCCGGGGCTCGAGGGGCGTTGTGGGAGGGCCTGGCCTGGCTTGAGGCCGTGTACCCATGCGGAAGCACACGCTGGCCTTAGCAGGCCCGGAGCTCCATGTGCCTCTGGGCCAGTGCCCATGCACGTCATGTTTCTGGGAAAAGTACTTGGGTCAGTACTGTGGTCACCCCCCTTTTGTCCCCTGTCCCCTGTGAGTGACGCCGCTTTATTCTGGCCCGTGTTCACTTCCCTTCTGTCTCCTCTGTCTGTGCTGCGTCTGCACTGCTGCCTGCAGGCTTCGTCCAGCTGCGGCGGCCTCTCTGCAGAGCGCAGGCCCTGGCGCGTGGGCTCCGTGGCTGAGGCGCACGGGCTTCGCAGCCCCGAGGCACATGCGGTCTTCTCCGACCAGTGATCGAACCTGTGTCCCCTGCGCGGCAGGCAGGGTCTTAGCCACTGGAGTACCGGGGAAGTCCCTGGTTTTTGTTTTCAGTTCTCTAACTTTGTTTTGCGGTCCTCACCTGATGTTTTTGGTGGCTTTCTTAAAAGTGATTCCCTGAACCACTTACAAGGTCTCTTTAGATTAGAGCAAATGGGTGAGTCTGGAATTTGACAGGCTGCAGGTATGTTTATTTTTTCTGGTGGCTGATACAATCATTTTCCAGTGGAACCGTTGGAAGATGGGTTTAAAAGCCTTTCCCACAGCAGACCTCCGTGGACGAGGTCCCCATGAAAGGCGTCCACCGGCTCCCACAGCTGAGTGCCGAGCCGAGTCAAGGGAGGTGTCCCCAGGGGACTCGGCACTTGGTCTGCGCACAGACGAGGTCCGTGTCCTCGGGTGAGGACAGGCCTGGCCTCCCTGCAGACTCCGCTCTGTGTGGACGCTGGCAGCTGCGTTTGCTCAGGCGGCCGGACCAGAGTTTCCAGTCTCCCCCCTCACCTGGCGCCCAGGGCAGGGGCCCCGCTCGGCCATGGCAGCTAGGAGCCTGTTTTCAGCCGAGGTCTTGGTACGCAGACAGCACGCTCCACTTGTCCAGGTTGTGAGTACTTATTTCAAACAGCCAGGGGACGGAAGAGACGTTGCGTTCTTTTGTACTTGCTGCCTTAGGGTGTGAAGAGGAAGCTGCCGTCTTACGCAGGGTGCTGTTGTCTGCGCAGTGGCAGGCGGGATCGCTGCTCCATGGTGGGAGGTCCTGGTGAGGCCTGGCCCTCCCCCTCGCCTCCTCAGCAGTGTTTCCCCACATCTCTGTTCCCTGTGACCGTCCTGTTACACAGCGTCTCCGAACCTCGTGGCTCAGGGCGACTGCACTTCATCACTCCCAGGCCGTGGGCTGTCTGCTCAGCTGGCCACTCGGGGTCACAGTACCCTGCGTTCCCAGCAGCTCTGTAGCAGACAGCTGACAGCTGCAGGCGATGAGACGCGGCGGAGGGAGGGGAGCCGGAAAGGAGGTCCATCGGGGTTGCTGCTGGGGGGCCAGGACGGGATCACTACTGATGGGGCTGTGCTTGTGGGCGCAACAGAGGCCTTTGTGAGGTAAACAGTGCTGTCACACGGTTTTGTGAATATGCTAAAAGCAACTGAATTGTCCAGTTTTTAGAGAGTTTAGTTCTTGGCCTGGTGAATTATATCTCAGTTTTTAAAAAGAAAGTAAAGAAGCATCAAAAATGGGAGAAACGTCCAGAAACAAGGCAAACCTGAATCATACAGAAGGGCTGCAGGGGTTGGAAGTAACGGTGCCAGATGAAGGAATATAAAAGCAGTTTTCTCCACAGTCTGGTTCTGGCAGCAGGTACCTGGCGGCAGAGTGCAGGCCGCGCTGGGTGGTGAGTGAGGTTGATGCCGTCAGGAGCGAGGCCGCTGTGAGCCTGGCCTCTGCGAGCGTATCGCAGCGAAGCAGCGGACGCTGGGTTGGGAGTCAGGTTCCCCCGTGCCCCCGGCGAGGTCCCGTCAAGGTCCTGGCTGCCCTCGGGGGAGCGTTGTGGAGGCCACCCTGAGCCGTGTGAGGGCCTCTACCCTGGAGCGGACATCCAGTGCTGCTGGGGGCCGAAGCCTCCCGGCGGTCAGACAAGTGGTCAGAGGACCCTTTCTCAGCCACTCTGGAGCTCCTACGGCCCTTCCAGGGGGGCTTACCACTCACACGGGCAGGCCTGTCGCGCAGCCTGAGCCAGGTAGAGTGCTGGGCACACTGCCTGGCCCCTGCCCTGGGGAGGCTTCACCTGTGAGACGGGAGTGGGAGTGGCTGGGCGCTGGCCTCCCCAGGGTGTCAGTGCAGGGAGGCTTCCTGCAGGAGGAGAGGAGGACGCGGTGTCCTGCTGTGCGGCGCGGTCGGTCCTCGCTGCAGCGCTGACCGCTGCCCTCCGTCAGGGGTGGTGGGCTGAGTGCTGGTGGCTGGCGTTCTGGCCGAGCGGGGGCCGCGGGGTCTGGGGGGCACTGGTGCCAAGTGGGGGCCTCTAACACACGGCGCCCTGTCCTTCTCTCCGCAGTCATCCAGTCCCTCATAGCTCTGGTGAACGACCCCCAGCCCGAGCACCCGCTCCGGGCCGACCTAGCTGAAGAGTACTCTAAGGACCGTAAAAAATTCTGTAAGAACGCTGAAGAGTTTACAAAGAAATATGGGGAAAAGCGACCTGTGGACTAAACGCTGCCGCGATGGGTTCCAGCAAGAGTGAGCAGAGACCCCGAGCAGTGCATTGAGATCCCGCAAAGCAGGACTCTGTGGAAAATCGACGCGTGCCACCACCTGGCGTCTGCTTGTGGCAGTTACTAACTTTCTACAGTTTTCTTAATCAGAAGTGGTCTAGGTAACCTGTAAAGAAAGGATTAAAAATTTAAGATGTTCTAGTTCTGCTTTCTTTGTTTTAAAAATCACTGCTTCAACCTACTTTTAAAAAATGGTGTTTCTTTTCCTGTCCAAATTTATCCAAAATCAATTTACATTTAGGCCATAAGGTTTAAAAAGAGGGGGGGGAGGCTGTGGTTCCTCTCTGCCCTTGCAGCTGCCACTCTCTCGCATTTTGTTTGATTCTCACCCCCCCCTCCCCCAGGCCCGGCCCCACTTCCGCTGGGAGGGGCGGCCCCGCCTCCAGGCCCCTCTGCTCCACCCTGGCTGGCCTGGTGTGGGAGTCAGTGCAGACTCCTGACTCTGATTTATAGCCTCCTTTTGAAAACACCAAGAAACAAGCAAACCTCCACTCCAACCCCCAACCAAAAACAAACAAACAAACCCCGTGGAAAGGGGAGGTCTAGCTCTTCTGTAAAACCCTGGCTAACGTTACCCCCGTGACGCGGGCCGGCTGGGATGAACCTCCAGCCGCTGGCCCGTGGAGGTCGGCCGTGGGACAGCGAGCTGTGGGAGGAAGTCCTCGCCAGCGAGGCGGTCCTCCCTGCATCCCCTCCAGAAGACATCAGGTCTCCCTTCGGACAAGTGCTGGCGTGTCCACGTGCAGGCTGGCGGTCGCCTGTCGCCGCCGAGTCCACCGACGTGGCTTGGAGCTCCTCCTCCGCCTCCTGAGTGCAGCCGCCCTTCCTCAGCTCGTCTGACCCTCCGCTAACGCCAGTGACGCCGCGCCAGCCCAGGGCCGCCGGCGACCCCAGCCAGGAACAGGACGGCCCCCCTCCATCGGACTCTCCACCTTCTTGGAGTCAGGCTCCACGTGAAGCTCGCTCAGTAATCTCCTTGACATGTTTTATATTGTTTTGACCGCCTTCTTTTGTAGAAATAAAAATTGACCTTAGAATTATCGTCGGATGGACTCGTAAGGATCTGAATGTTCATGTCTTTTCCAAGCAAGCGGGACTGCCCCTGAAGTAGTCGCGTCCTGGTCACTGACACCCAGAGGCGGCCAGGGATCCGAGCACCGGGGATCTTCCCTCCACTCCTGCCGTCTGGGCCTCCCTCCCCCGGTACTCCGTGGGCGAGATCCAGTGGAGAAGATGACTTAACCTTGGCTTCCTATCTTAATTTTAGCTTTGTGACTTGAGGTCTTCGGGGCTCGCGGCCCATGAAACAGCTTGGCTTTACCCAGCAGAGGTGGGATGGTGGGGGGGCGTGACCACAGCTTCTGTAGCCCCAGGTACGCTCGAGACAGGCCTTGGGGCCCCGAGCGCCCTGGCCAGCACGGCCACACCTGTCTCTTCATTAGCAGAAAGGCAATGAGGGACTTGATTTCACTCATGCAGATTTGTTAATAAAATGCCAAATTCTGTCAGAAGCACTTCAGATCAGCCGCCGTTTGTTCTGCTCGCCGCTCTGAGCCCAGAATTATTGCCATTCCTGGAAACCCGCCCACTGCTTCGTGCTTCCACCAGCGCAGCTCTGCCGCCGTCTCCCCTGCCCCCTGGTCTGCTCGCCGTGGGAGGACTCCCGCTGTGCTCCATGCGGCGGCCCCTCCCCTCGGGGGTTCACACTCCTGCTTCGCTGCGCCCCTCCAAGAGCAGGCTGGCGGGCGGCCCCTCCCGCCAGGACCGGCTCCACCGGCGGGTGTGCGCTGAGCCTTCAGGCAGGCGTGGCCTAGCTCACCAGCAGCCTTGCTCCTCTGGACCTGACAGCCGGTCCCCCGAGCAGGGGAGAGCTGCCAGGCCCGCCTACAAGCGCACGCCCTGGCCCCCTGCCTCTCCCCACGGCGGGCGTGAGCCTCCCGAGACGCCGCGATCTGCTCTGCTGCCCTGAATAAAAGTGCTCTGGGACACGGTCTGCTCTTGTGGGTTTGTCTGTTCCTTCCTGGGGGTGGGGCTGCACAGGTCTCCAGGAAAGGGGTGCAGACATCTTCTGGCCAGGCCCCGGGCAGCAGAAGGGACTGCGGGACCCCTGGGGCGTCAGGGGAGGGGACACTGACCTCTGGATGTGTGTCCCTGAGTAGGGTGCCTCCTGGCAAGAGGTTGGGGAGCTGGTGAGGGTGTGCGCAGGGAGGGGCCAGGCCAATTCCTTGAATTCCAGCCCAAACCCGCCCCCCAAGTCCCAGGACTGCGGCTCTTGGGCTGGCTCAGCAGCAGGCCTGCCGGGGCCCTGACGGAGTTCTCCCCTGGGGCCCCTGCCTGGGGGTCTGACACCCGCTGAGGCCCCGACAGCTCGGCTGCAAGTGGCAGCAGGGACTTCCTGGGGCGTCATTTCAGCAGGAGGCGAGGCAGCTGGCCCCTTCCCTTGATCATCAGCAGGGACCCCCACCTCGGGGCCGCCCCTGGGCCCCATCACCCTGCTTTCACAGAGGGGACCAGCCAGGGGCCCCCACCACCAGCCACAGCCCCTCCCCAAAGCCTGAGACCCCCTCTGCTCCCTGCCTTCACTGGCGCCCAATCTCTGGTCTTCCTCACTTGCAAAACGCTCCACCTGCATCCTCTCGGCCTGGCGTCCAGCGCCTCCGGCTCCCTGGCCTCCTCCGCCCAGGGCCCTGGCCTTGGCGGGGTCCTGTGTGCGCGGGGAGGCCCGTGTCCTGCTCCCGCTGTCCTCCCCGGCAGCATGCCCGTGCAGCACCCTGCAGGGCAGCCCTGAGCCTCTGTGCTCCCACCATCTGCATGGGCTCCTCCCTCCCCGCTTCCCACCCCGCCAGGAACAGAGCCGAGTGAAGCCCAGTTCTCGAACAGCGCAGTGCCGGCTGGGCCCCGCGTAGGAAACGCCGTCTTCCTGGTGCCTGGCCGGCGGGTGCTGGGAGCCACGCTGCTGAGGCTTCGTCCTCACACTCAGGTGTGTCCCACGCCTGTCCCTGTGTGTAGAGGCCGCAGGCTCCTTGCAGGCTGCGTCCCAGCCGCCCCATGCCTGATGGACCGTGGGTAATGGCGAACCCCTCGTCTGGGCCATCCCCGGCACAGCAGGTTGGACAGCAGAAATGCCCCCCTGTGGGATCAGGGACCAGCCCTCCGCCTCCTCGTCCCGGTCACCAGGGCCTCTGCTCCTCCCACCCTGGCTCCCTGGTGACAGTAGCCTCTCCTGCAGACCCTCCATCTCCCCCGTCACACACACTCTGTCCTGAGCCAGCTCCTCTCAGAGCAGCAGACACCCCCCAGGGAGCACAAGTAGACAGACCCCTGTGGGCAGGGCAGGATGAGAGGGAGGAAAGACCCACAGCTGGAGAAGTCGAGGTCCAAGGAAGGACAGGGAGGAGCCTGAAACCAGAAAGAGGGACGGAAGCCGCCAGCTGGGACGGGCCCTACCCTCACGCAGGCAGCGCATCGGGCTCTTCTGGCCCCAGTGGCCGCCGGACCCAGACTCAGGCCCAGCGCGTCGAGGCAGGGAGCAGGCAGCCTCACAGCTGTGACCCCCTTCTCTGGGTCTGCAAAACGCGGACACCAGCGCTGTGACGTGAACTCCATGAGGCGAGAAGGACCACGTGGGGCTCCGTCCGCTCTGGCACCACCCTCAACCCAGGCCCCAGGAGACCCACCCACAGGGCGTCCACGCATCCCGAGGGACTCCACTTGCACACAAGACCACCTCTCCTGGGCAAACATAAAACACTACTGCAGGCTTGCAGGACCTTCTCAGGTCCGCCCCCTGGGATGGCAAAGGATCGCTGACTTAGGCCTCCCCAAGATTGTAGCCTGGGAGAGATTCTTCCAACCCCTCACTACCTACCCCCAAAGAAAAGGATGAAGAGAGCTGAGGCATGGGCAGAGCCAAGGCGGACCACACTGCTGACGGCTCCTGGGAGAGTGACCTCAGGGGCCCGGAGTGGTGTGCGCGTGTGTGTGGGAAGGTTCCGGGGCCCGGTTCACAGGATACATGCCACTTTATTAACACAGCCACCTCTGCTCCGAGCGCCCACACAAGGATGATGCCAGTGGTGTGATGGCCCCACACCTGGCAGGGCCCAGGCCCAGAGGTCACGGCCGCCCCCCACAGCCAGAGCACTTGCAGAAGCTTGCCCGCCACCCCACGCCATGAGGACCTGGGCCCAGAGGTGACATCGTCCAGGCCCAGGAACGCGGGCTCTGGGGCCCGGGTTTCCTTCCTGTGCACCGAGGACGTGAACGCTCAGCTGTCAGCCAGGGTCACGGTGGGGAGGGCTCCAGAAAGGTTTCCCGAGGGGCTTTGCTGGTGGACCCCTCTCCTGGCCTCTTGCAGTCTAGGTCTTCCACGGTGCAGAGCTGCACACCGTCCCGGGCAAGCTGAGCCTGCAGCGTGGGTGCCGTGAGGACACGCAGCTCGTGCAGGCGATCCGAAGAGCAGGAGAAGGCGTCTGGGCCCTCCCCGCAGCCCCCAACCGGAGGCACACTCGGGTAGCCGGGGTGCACCATCAGCTCAGCCGTCACCACCTGGCCAGCAGGCATACCTTCCAGGGCCCGAGTCAGTGCCTCCAGCACACGGTGAGCGGACATGTGCCGGCCGCAGGTGCTGAGGCCCACGAAGACGTCAGTCCACCTGTGGGTGCCAGGGCATCAGCAGCAGAACCAAAGGGCCTCAGTGGGCAGGGCTAGGCCAGGGACCGGGGGCAACTGGGGTGGGGGCAACGCCGGAGGAGGCCTGACCCCCGTGGAGGCTAAGAAATGGGGAGGGGGTCACAGCTGAACAAGGCACAGTCAGCCAGACGCACAGGGGTGGAGGGGGTTGCGCCAGGGGGCTGGGGGCCTTACCGAAGGCCATGGTAAACGAAGAGACGGATGGCAGCGCTGGCATCTTGCTCCAGGGCGCCGGCAAAGTCCCGCGCTGGGGCCTCTAGCCAGGCGCAGCCGTCCACCCCGCGCTCCAGCGGCAGCCTAGTGTAGCGCACTCCACAGGCCTGCAGGGCCTCAGCGAACACCCGGCACACGCCTGCAGGCGGGCCGGGCGGAGTCAGGGTGAGGCACGTGCAGCACACCCCTACCCCGGAGTGGGAGCCCCGTCCCGCGCACCTGGGAGCACGTGCACGTGCTGGTGGCCGTCGACGTGAGTAGGGTCCCTGCCCAGTAATTCCCGGAAGCGGCTCAACTGGGCCTCCAGCTCTTCTCGCACCTGGAGAAAGAAGGTGACAGTCATTTAGCACACGTCCGGGAGCAGCTCCCCAGGGGGACCCCGTCTCCGCGCTCCGCTGCGATCGGCCCTGTGTCTGAACCAGGGAGGCATCCGGTGCCCCAGTCTAGCTCGCAATGGTCCAGGGCGCCCTTGCGGCGCAGCCCTGAGCGTCCTCCTGCAGCCGCACCTGCGCACCTGGGACAAGATCACTTCTCCGGCCGCCACCGCCCGCCGGAATCCCATCTTGCCGAGGAAGAAGCCCTCGGAGCCGGTCAGCGAAGAGGCGCCATGGCGGGCCGGGCCCACGGGGCGGCCCTCGGACAGGTTGGCGTGGAGGCCCGTGGGGATCCGGTGCCTGCGGGCGGAGCGCGAGCAGGGAGCATCGGCGGCGCGGACCGCGGTCCCCGAGCCCGCCCCGGACCCTGCAGGAGGGCCGCCACTCACCTGCGGGCCAGTTCAGCCGCGCTCCCGGCGGCCGAGCCGTTGACCAGCAGGGACACGCTGGTCACAGCCCCGGCCAGGAAGGCTTCCACGATGCCCTCGTCGCGCCGCGGGCAATAGCCAAAGTCGTCTGCCGTGACCACAAGCCGCACGCGGGGCCGGGCCATGGTGCCGCCACCCGCTGGATGCTCAGGGTCCGAGCGCGCGGGCGGACGGTCCAGCCCCGCCCCAGACGTCGCCCGAGACCCCGCCCCGACGCACGCGCTGCGCTCGGCCTTTGTTCCCGCCGCCTGCTGGCCCCGGGGCTCCCTGCAACCCGGGTGCCCCGCCCCACCCCACCCCAAGCACGGGACTTGCAGTGACTGCAAAAATGTTTCATATGAAAAACGGAAAAATCAAACCTGGGGGGAAAAAACCCAACCCTCTTACCCTCCCCCAACCACCGTTCACTTTCTGGGTAGTGTCTCCTGGCATTTTTTTTCTCTAATAAATACACCCAAGGTTTCTGCTCTTCTACCCCAGTTTTTTGGTTTGTTGTTTTGAGGAGACAATGATCACATCAGTGGCATTCCATCCTTGTGGTGTTTCTTTTCTTTTTTTTGATACTATGAACTTTTTCATGTCTTTATTAGCTAACTGTATGTCTTTTACAAATTGCTTATTTGTCTTTTTTTGATTTTTTGAAACGAGGCTTTTTTTTTTTTTAATTTATTTTTTTTATCACAACCATAGTGTATCTTTTTTTTTTTTTTTACATGTATTCCCCATCCCGGTCCCCCCTCCCACCACGAGGCTTTTTCTTGATTTGTAAAAGCTCTGAACAAAGAGAAAGCCTGTGTACCAATGATTTTATTTGAGAAAGCATCCGTCCCAGCTTCCATCTCTTGAGCCCTGTGCCAGGCCATAACTTTATATTTTCATGACCTTTTTTCCTCTGTGATCCAGAAAAGCTTCCCTTACCAATGACTTAATAGTCACCATGGTCGACAGCCACCGTTTTCGTGTGGCGAGACTGGGAAGTGCAGTACCTGAGTCCAGCCTATGAAGTGGTTGACGTCATTCCTGCATTACAGATGAGGGCACTGCGCCTCGGAGAGGGCTAGTGTGCTGGCCTGTGTGACTCTGCGGGCATCAGTGGAGCTGGGACTGCCCTCTGGAGCACCGGCCTGCCTCTGGTCGGCTCTGGTCCTCTGCGCCCTGCTTGCCCTCAGGTCTGGGGCAGAAAGGGCAGAGCTGAGCTGGAGAATCCCCTCCGTGGGGGTGCAGCAAGAACTGAAGGCCTTAAAGAGTCCTTCACCAGGTTCTCAGCATAAGGACGATTGTATTCAATTTTGTTCAGTTGCTCAGTTGTGTCGGATACTCGGCATAAGGACGATTGAATTCAATTTTGTTCAGTTGCTCAGTTGTGTCGGATACTCTGTGACCCCATGAACTGCAGCACGCCAGGCTTCCCTGTCCTTTATCATCTCTCTCAGAGTTTGCTCAAATTCACATCCACTGAGTCAGAGATGCTTATCTAACCACCTCATCCTCTGCTGCCCCTTTCTTTTGCCCTCAACTATCAGGGTCTTTTTCAGTGAGTCAGCTTTTCCCATCAGGTGGCCAAAGAGTTTCAGCTTCAGCATCAGTCCTTCCGGCGAATATTCAAGCTTGATTTCCTTTTAGGATGAACTGGTTTGATCTCCTTGAAGTCCAAGGGACTCTCAGGAGACTTCTCCATCACCACAATTTGAAAGCATCAATTCTTCGGTGCTCAGCTTTCTTTATGGTCCATTTCTCACATCTGTACATGACTACTGGAAAAACCATAGCTTTGACTAGACGGACCTTTGTCAACAAAGTGTTCAATAGTGATGACTAAATTGTGGGACTTCAGTCATCCTTATCCACTGGGAAGCTGGTCCTGGAAAGTCTAGAGGCCCTGAGGCTACTCGATTGGAAGGATGAAATTCACATTTGTTGAGCACCTACTGATATTAGAAAGATCATATATTTGGGGTGAGAACCACAGTTCCTATCTCCAGGGAGCATGATCTGATAATCCATTAACCACATGGTGTGGCAAAGTGCGGGATGGGGTTTGGGGTCATTTGGTTGGGGGGACGAGCCTTCTGGGAAGGCTTCTCCTAGGAGGTGACACCTGGATGGATTGCATTAGGAATAGCCTTGGGGTAGACAGCTATAAGAGAGGAGGTCAAGATTTATAGGTTTTATCAGAGTGCCAGAGTGTTGTAGGAAGGTTAACTTCATCTCCAAACCCGTGTGGAAAGACACTCAGCTCCACTTACGGAAACGGAGCAGGCGACTAGAGGCGTTGAGCCGCCCCGGCGGGAAACCCCGAAGCTGGGAGTTGACGCTAGTCTGTGATTTAAGAGGCGGATTCCTTCCAGTCCGCCAGGGACAGAAGCTGGGATGTCCACACTGGGAGAGTGGAGGACAGTCCGCGAGCAGGAGCCCAGGACAACTCAGGGACCAGAAAGGAGCCGAGGCAGGTGCTTGTGTCACCGTGGCGGGGGGAGGCGGTGGCTTCGTCTCTTAGGCCACCCCCCTCCAGGCGGGACCAAGTCCGTAAGCAACCAGCGGGACTAGTCTCCGGCGCAGACTGGGAATGCGGGCGGGCAAAAGCCGGCGCGTGGGGGAGGGGCCACGGGGGCCCCGCCCCAACCATTGTGCCGCGGGAGCCGGCGAGCGAGCGGCGTGGCGCAGGCCAATCAGGACGCGGGATGCAAATGAGCAGGCCCCCGGGCGGCCCCGAGCTGCTCGGACGCCCTGCGGAGGGCTCGGACCGCAGCGGAGCGCGCGCCCAGGGGTCACCGACTTGGTGAGTGGGTCGCCGGGGGCCCGTGTCGGACGCCGGGGCCAGGAGGACGGAGGGCGGGCGCAACCGGGCCCAGAGATGACTCTGGACACGGACGGGACTGAGACAGCCAGGGGCTCCGAGCAGAGGACCGGCGAAGGACGTGGGGTGTGGGAAGCCGGGGACCAGCGGTCCACGGACGGACTGGGACGCCGACCCACGGAGAGCTGGGGGCACTCTCACTCCATATCCCCGCCCGGCGCAGAGAGGAATCTGCGGTTTCACCGCGGAACCGGAGAGAGAGGAGGAGGGCAGCGGCCCGGCCATCGGCACCATGGCCCGCTGCCGCCACCATTCGGGCTACCTGGCGGACGATGAGGCCGGCCACCCTACCTACGTGGCCCGGGTAAGTGGGAAACCCACCGTGTTCCCCAGCAGTCCACAGCCCCCCGTTTCTCATCTCCCACTGATGTCCTCTCTGGGCCGCGTAGTGACCTGTTGTCTTCAGCACTCCTCGGCCGCCCTGCTGGGCCCTCGTCACCTCGGTCAGTTTCTTTCCCTGTGCCGCACCCCCCTCCCCCGACCCCAGGAGCCTGGGACGACCCCAGAGTGAGAGCAGTCTCCTGGGGGCCTCTGACTGGAGATACAGCAGCCGCTACTGGAGCGCACGGGGCCTGGGGTCCGCAGGTGGTCTGAGGGGCCCGGCAGTGGGGCAGGGCCGAGGGGTTTTGTGGTTGCCCAGTCATGCCCTGGGTGGGGGCCCAAATGGGCTTTCAGACTGCCCAGCCACATCTCGTGTATGTGAACTGTACATGTCAGGGAAGCTTCAGGGCTGCCCTGAACGGACCCCCATTCTGCAAGAGCGGGGCCTCAGCAGGGGACGTTGTGCCTGAAGCTGGCAGAGCCAGGGTACAGAGCCAGGGCCGCCTGGCTCCAAAACCCCGTTCCTGTTACTGCGCAGTCCCCACCCAGCCCCTGGTGCCCTAGGAGGACCCCGGGAACCCTTCCCCCCCCCCCCATGAGGCATCCTTGCCCACCCTGACATGCCTGTCTGCTCAGGTGCAGCCGTCTAAGAAGTCACTGTTCTCCAAAATGGGCCACGCCTCCAAGCCGGGCCACAGGCCACACCCGCCTTCCTCGCATGACCCCTCAGGTAGTTCAGGCCGCCACAGAAACTCTAAGGGCCTTCGACCCTTTACAAGCTTCCTGGATTTCCTCGTCGAGGGTCAGGTGCTGGAAAGCCTGCAGACGGTGGTGGAGGAGGCAACGGAGCGCATGGCCACCGCGAAGACCGAGGCGGGGGTGCCGCTGGTGGAAGTGCAGGACCCCGCGGAGGAGCCGAGGGGCGGGCGCCGCGGGCGGGTCCGGCCCAGTCTCAGCACCCTGCGCCGGCACCGCGCCCGGCCCGGTCTCTGCGTGGGGCACCCCAACAATTACCCCTCCCGCTCCAGCTCCATGTCCGACTCCCGCAGCAGCTGCACGGCCGCCGACTGGCCGGGGTGCCACAGCCGGGACAGCGACCCGGGCGCCCGGGGCCTGGGCCGACTGCCGCCCGTGACGGACCACCTCCTGCTGGAGAAGAGCCTCAGACGGCTGGTGCAGCTGGAGAGCCGAGGGGTGAGGTCGGGGGCTGCGGACCCGGTGAGGGGGTGCGGGGCTGTCCCCAGCCTGGAGCCGACCCGGACGTCTCTGAGGGGCCCCCTTATCTCTGCAGAGAGGCCTGGGGCAGGCCTCCTCCCACGGGGCCTCACTGGACAGCCAGAGCAGCAGCCAGTGGACCGTGGAGCAGCCCCTGTCGTGGTTCTCAGGCCCGCTGGGCTCGAGCTGGGACACGCAAGAGTCGTCAGAGCGGGGGCCCACGGAGCGCGAGCTGGGCCTCCTCAGGCGGCAGCTGAACAAGGAGATGAGATCCCTGCTGAGCCAGCCGGCGTCGTTTGAGCTGCCCGGCTACTCTGCGCTCCGCGAGCCCCATCGGACCCTGGACTTCCTGGCCGAGCACCACCTCTTCCCCGCCCTGCAGAACGTGGTCAACCGGGCCGCGGAGAAGCTCAGCGGCGCCCGCCGCCGCGACGGCGGCCCGCTCTTCCCGTCGGAATGGGAGACGGCCCGGGAGTCCGGCTCCAAGATGGCCACGCCCGCGGACGGGGAGGAGCTCTACGAGTCGCCGCCCAGCACGGCCTCCAGCCCCCGGACCGAGCGGAGGAGGAACAAGTGCCAGGGTCGCGGCGAGGCCCAGGGAGGGGGCGCTCCCGTGCCTAGCCCCCCGGTGGCCGCCAGGTTCCGGCTTGAGGTCACAGCCACGGAAGAGCCCCGCGTCTCAGCATCCCTCCCCAGGCACGAGGGGCTGGGCCCGGACCCCAGGGTACGGAACCTTCCACTCCCGTCTCGGAGCCCCTGTGCCCCGGCCTGCGGGCCCAGCCCTGGCAGAGCCCGCGCCCTGGGAGGTGGCGGAGGCGCCCTCCCGACGGGCCCGCGGCGCCCCCCGGGCCCTGGTCCCGCTGGCCTCGCCCCACCCCTCGTCCTCGAGCCCCTTCTCCGTGCTCTCACCCCACGGCTCTGCGCTCAGGGGCCGCGCTCCGTCTCGGGCCCTGCCGGAGCGGGACGTGACCTTGTCCAGACTGGGGCCTGGGGTCTTGGGGCCAGGTCTGCAGTGCAAAGGGTCCTGTCGCCACCACTCCTAGCCAGCACTGCTGTCACCGGCAGGGGGGCCAGCCCCTGTGGGTACCAGGCCCTTGTGGGTACCACCTGAGCCGGGGTGGGGGCGGGTGTGAGCTAACGAGTGGACCCGGAGTCAGGGCCTAGCCACTGCCACATGTTGTCAAAGATGAATAAAGGCTATTTTTTATTCTGTTTTTCTTTTAACGTCTGCACGTGAGTCTCAGAGGCCCTCCCAGAATGGGGAGGGTCCTGTCCCTTGCGGACAGCGACCTGAGCCCAGGGTAGGCCGTGTCTGAGGTCTACCCACTGTGGTCCTGCCGCCCAGGGTGGGGCTCTCCAAGCGAGTCCGCCCGCTGAGAGGGCGTTCCTCGGGCGGGATATGGAGAGAGGGCGTGGTGGCCTCACCCTGGCGGCTCACCCTGCTTTCACCCCATCGGGGTTCAGGCACGCTTTCCTCCTCTGAGCCGCGGCCTGGGTGAGGATCGTGCAGGCCCCCTTTTGACTACACGGGGACTGAGGTCACTGGCCCGGCCCTGGGCCTGACCGACCGGGCTGGGCCGGCACATGGGACCCCCACCCAGCTCTCCCATGGGCCAGCGGAGCCGACCTGGCGAGGCCACACCCAGCGTGGAGCGGGCGCTGTGCCGTGTGGGTGATGTGGAGAATGTTCTGGGTGGGAGGGAAGCAGAGGAACGGCAAGGATGGGTGACCTGTCTCCCTCGCCCTCCCCCAACTCCCGCGCAGAGCCCCGGCTACAAGTTCAGCAAGAAGTCGCTGCCCTCCATCCTGTCCAAGTCCAGCACCATGTCCCAGCTTTCCGATCCCTGGCACGAGGAACTCGTCGACTACCTGAAGGATCAGGCCGTGTCCCTGCTCATCCACAAGTACAGCTTTGAGAAGAACCTCACTGACCAGCTGGGCTTCATCTCCTTCCCAGTCACTGAGGCACTCATGGACCTCTTCCTGGGCTTCAAGAAGGTGAAGGGCTCACGAATCCGCCTGTCCTCCACGGTAGACTGGCACTGCCTGCTGCACAGGCTGCAGGAGGGCAAGTCCAGCCAGCACTCATCCCGGCTGTCGTTCCGGCCCCTCTCCCGACTGACCTCCCAGCACAGCACCCCCCGGAAAGGCACGGGGAACCCCACCATGCCCTCCGAGGTCTCCGTCAGGGGCCGCAGGATCCGGGACAAGCCCATAGGGTCCTCCCGCCTTGACAGGAGGCCCCAGGGCTCCCGGCCACACCCCCCGCAGGAGCGCTCCAGGTCCCCGGAGGCCAAGCGGTTCCTGTCCCGCACCAACGCCAGCGTGGCCTCCCATCCATCCAAGCAGATAGTGGATATGGAGGACCAGCAGAGCATTGAGGAGGAAGACAAAGAGGAGGAGCAGGAGGAGGAGGAGGAAGACTTCTTTGGAGATGAGGACCAGCCCCAGAGCTCCCAGGAGCCTCCAGGGGAGGCTACAATCAGCTCCCCCGTGGAAGGCTCCAGGGCAGGCCCCAGTGACCCCCCGTGAGGCCCCATGCGGCCTTACCAGGCACTCCGTGGCCCACTCCTCCTGCCCCCGCTGGCCACTGCTGTTGCACCTGCCCTGCCCGAGTAGAGGCCAGAATGGCTGGTACCCATGAGGAGCTCCGCTGAGCCTCTTGTGGGAGCCAACAGGAGAAATAAAGCTTGTTGACAGAGCAGTTTTCCTGTCAGAGATCTCAGCCGTCCTTGCACACACGCGCCCCCACGCCCCCAGGAGACCCTCCGTTGGGCCAAGCCCGGCCTCCCTGCAGCTGCCAGTGCCCTGAGCCCTGTGACCACCTTGGCTCTGCTCCTGGCTCCTCTCCACTCCAGTCTGAATCTTCCTGGCTCTTCAAGCCTCTTGAAAAAGAACAAAAGTGAAAGTCGCTCAGTCCTGTCCAACTCTTTGCGACCCTATGAACTATACAGCCCATGGAATGCTCCAGGCCAGAATACTGTAGTGGGCAGCTGTTCCCTTCTCCAGGGGATCTTCCCAACCCAGGGATTGAACCCGGGTCTCCTACATTGCAGGCAGATTCTTTACCAGCTGAGCCACCAGGGATGCCTCTTAGGACTCATTGTCTCCACCTCGCACGGCCCCTGGGATTATTGCTTCCCCTTCCAGAGAGGGGCGGCTCTGCCAGGACACGCCGACCCTCTGCTGGTCAGTCAGGCTGGACTGGCTTGCCCCTTCCGTAGTGGCCCTGTGCAGGACAGGACGGCTCTCTCTCTCTCTCTCGAATGGTCTGTGGACTCAAATGGTGCCATGGATGGAGGGCCTCATGTCCAAGGCCCTCCCAGAGCTTCTGGCCATCCTGTATCCCCAGCTCAGCACCCTCCTCCCCTCTGCTTTCCTAGGGCAGCCTGTCTGTTCCTGTTTGGGCATCATCACCTCCACCCTGCCCCCTGCAGCTCCAGGGACTCAGGGAGAGGCATGTTGGCCTCCCTGACTCTATCCCTGGGGTCTCTGCTGCTCTTGGATCAGCAGACAGCTCTCTTTATTCCAAGCAGCAGTTGCGGAGTCCATGTGCTTTTTTTTTGGGGGGGGTGGGATTTTACCTCCCTGACCAGGGATTGAACCCACACCCCCTGCAGAAGCAGCAAGAGTCGTAACCATGGACTGCCAGGGATGACCCCCACTGGTCTTGGGACACTTTCTTCACCTTGCGGGGAGATTACTTGTTGTGTCCTCACAGTTGTCTGGTCCCAGCGCAATGGGAAGCCACTGGCAGCTTTTAAACAGGCACCTCGCGTAACCTGATTTATGCTTTTTTCTTTTTTTTGATTTGTGCTTTTTAAGAAAAACCACTTTCCTGGGTGGAGAATTTCTTGGGAGGGGCCTGAGTAGCAGGGAAATCTCAGCAGTGTGGTAGAAATCTGGAGGGGACATGGGGTACCTTGGTTTAGGGTGCTGACGGTGACTCAAGAGACATGCCTTCCAAGCTGTTCGGAGTCAGAGCCATCAAGACGTGTTGGGGTAGATGGGAGGGGTGCGGTGAAGAGAGGAATCAAGGATGAATCTCTGGTTTGGGGCTTGAAGAGCTTGTGCATTTGTGAGCAGGGGTGCCATTCCTCAAAATCAGAAGCCTAGGGGCGAAGCAGTGGGAAGGAGGCTGCAAGTTCTGGTCTGGTCATACTACATTTGAGATGTTCATTGGTGTGTGTGGATTGCACTCTAGCCCCTCTGCCTGGGTTGGAGGCCCCTCCAGGACAGGGTCTACTAAATCCAGGGCAGACAGCATTTTAGACACCGAGTGTTGAAAAGATCAAGGTACCTTGTCCTACATGGAATTCCAAATAAAGACAATGTTAAGCCTGAAAACTGGGACTTCCCTGGTAGTCCAGTGGTTAGGACTCCACGCTTCCACCATAGGGGGCGCGGGTTTGATCCCTGGTAGGGCAACTAACAGCCCACAAGCTGATCAGCACCGAGTCAGGGGGAATATGAAAGCCAAAAACTAACCCATTGCTGTAATTGAAATGACTCTACTCTGGATTTTCTGAATGCTAAATTCTGGATGATTTAATCAAACATGCATTTTTTTTTTTCCCCTCCCTGCTTTGCTGGTGCCCCAAGTGCGTGAGCAGCCAGCCGATTCCTGGGCTGGGCTGAACTGAAGGGCCAGGAGTGAAGTCAAGGTAAGAATATGCCACGAATGAATAAATAAACAGCGGTGTAAGTTTCCCGGCTTACATGACTGAGCAGACAGCTCTCTGAGAAGGCACTGAGTCCCCGGCCTGGGACACACAGTCACCCAGGTTTGGGTCGCAGTCACTTGGTCTCCCAGGGCTCCCGGTTCCCAAGGCAGCTCAGGGTCTTCTGGTGACTGCAGCTCCCTGCTGCCCTCTGCTGCCCAGTGGCCTAGTGACCATGAGATTCTGCCCTGCAAGGGCCCAGGGAATTCAGAACCCCCAGGGTCCAGGGACACTGATGTGACCCCATGTCAGGGAACAGTGGTCGAGCGACTGGAGGATTAGGTCCAGGGGCTGAAGGAGCATGTGACTGCGTATCCGAGACGTGTCCACTCGTGACCATATAATCTAGTGGTCGAGCAACCTGAAGACCCTGCAGCTGCGGACCCGGGGTCCGAGGGGGACACCATCACTGATGGCCAGGGGATCTGGGATCAAGGTGATCGGGTGAACCGGGTTGCTGAGTCCGGCGGGCGCTAGAGCGGCGCCTTAGTCGGCAGCCACCCGGAGCCCCGCACTCCCGCCGCTCGGAGCCCCCCCGGGCCTCCCCTGGATCCTCATTGGTCAGCCCTCGAAGGCGTGGACCAATCAAAACCTTCCTCGTGTCGCCAGGGCCCTCCCAGCCGCCGCTCGCCGAAGCTGGGGGCGGGTCTCTCCCGCGCGGACCCAATGGCAGCAGAGGCGGAGCGCCGTGAAGGCCGGCGATTGGCTGTCGCGGCGGGCCCCGTCAGAGTCCGGATTGGTCGGCGGCGGAGACGGAAGCGACCGCGGGCTGAGTCGCCGGAGCCCGGCCGGGGCGATGTGGAGCGCGGGCCGCGGTCGAGCTGCGGGCCCGGCGCTGCTGGGGGTACTGCTAGCCCTCTCGCTGCCGGGGGGCCGTGCCGCCAAGACCGACGCGGGGCTCGTGACCTGCGGGTCGGTGCTGAAGCTGCTCAACACGCAGCACCGGGTGCGGCTGCACTCGCACGACATCAAATACGGATCCGGTGCGCGGGCCGGGGCCGCCGGACGGCGGGGTGGGGGCGGGGTCCCCGCGGGCCAGGGGGCTGGGGGTCCTCAGGGCCGGAGGCCAGCGGTTTCGAGGGCGCGGTGGGGACGCCGTTCGGAGCGGCGGACCTGGGCGTGGGACCGGAGGCGGGCGGGGGACGGGGAGCGGCTTGGGGAGCCGTTGGGTCCCAGGGTCGAGGTCGTCGGGAAAGCGGAGGTTGTCCGGGGCGACGGTAGGCGTTGCCACGCTGATGGCCACCCCGGGGATGGGGTGTCGTCTCCAGGCAGCGGCCAGCAGTCGGTGACCGGCGTGGAGGCGTCCGACGACGCCAACAGCTACTGGCGGATCCGCGGCGGCACGGAGGGCGGGTGTCCGCGCGGGTCCCCGGTGCGCTGCGGGCAAGCGGTGCGGCTGACGCACGTGCTTACCGGCAAGAACCTGCACACGCACCACTTCCGGTCGCCGCTGTCCAACAACCAGGTGAGCCCCCCTGGCTTGTGAGCGCGGGGCCTGGGCATCTCCTCAGAGCCCCGGCTTTCCTCTGTGAAATGGGAGCGTCAAGTTAGAAGCGTTTGCCCGGCGCCCACTCTGGGAACAGAGAGATGACCCCCACCAGCGCCTACCCCCTGGAGCCCTCAGCTCCGCGGGGACACAGCTGGAAGAGGCGTCCGGCTGGAGAGCTCCACTCCTGGGCGGGAGCTGGACCCAGGAGGGGATCCACATGGCTGCTGGGGTGGAGAATGGGAAACTCCGCGGGGAGGAGGCACTCAGGCTGGCCCTGGAAGGATGAGGAGGAATCCAGGGAGGGGAAGGGCATCTTCCCAGGCCTGGGCAAGAGCCTGTGTGCGAGTTCATCGGAACTGGGAGGGTGGTGGGGCTGGGACAGACGGTGGTTGGGGGCTTATCCGAAGAAAAGGATGAGATAATAGAAGCTTGACTGTCAGCCTGAGAGGCAGACATGATGCTGAGTGAGGGTCAGAGGAGTTAGGACAGAAGGAACTGGAGGAGGAGGGAGCGGGGCGGTCTTGCCTCCGTGGGGGCCAGTGGTTGCCACCCAGGCAGGTGAGGTGGGGTGTGCATGTGTTTGAAGAACCCGTGCTGGGGGGCCTCGGGGCTGAGGGTGGGTCCCAGTTGGCAGCTGTGGAAGCTGAGTCTCAGGGAGAGGTATGGGGAAGTGAGTGCCACTGCCAGGCAGGTGCCCAGAGGGGACTCAGGGCTCCCTCTGTCGCGACAGCCGTCTTCACCCCCTCTGCCCCCACAGGAGGTGAGCGCCTTTGGGGAGGACGGCGAGGGGGACGACCTGGACCTGTGGACCGTGCGCTGCTCAGGGCAGCACTGGGAGCGGGAGGCCGCCGTGCGCTTCCAGCACGTGGGCACCTCCGTGTTCCTGTCGGTCACTGGCGAGCAGTACGGGAGCCCGATCCGGGGGCAGCACGAGGTGCACGGCATGGCCAGCGCCAGCGCCCACAATAAGTGGAAGGCCATGGAAGGCATCTTCATCAAGCCCAGCCCGGAGGCCCCTGGGGGCCACGATGAGCTCTGAGTGCTGTGGACCGGGGGTGCGGAGGGCAGCGGGGAGTGTTGTCTGCAGACAACTCTCGGGGGAGACTTTGGGTTTGTAGGGGTTCTCAAGTGCCTTTATGATTAAAGAATGTTGGTCTGTGGTCTCACTTTGCCGTGAGCCTGGGGCTGACCCGAAGCTGCCAGCTGGTCCCGCTCAGCATCTCTTCCTCAGGGTGAGAGCTCTGTCTCCAGCACAGCTGGTGGCTGAACCCGTCCAGACCTCTCTGACGCTCTTCTGTGCACTCTCCACACTGCCCAGGACCACCACAGCCGCCTCTCCCCACTGGCCCCAGTGACCCCAGCTGAGCTCCATGAACCTTCCTGATAAGGCCTGGGGTCTTAGCAGATTGCAGGAGCCCTGCTCCCCACCAGCTGGGGTGGGCACAAGCTGGCCAGTCCCTTCATCCCTTGAAGGGCTTCCCTTCATCCCTTGAAGGGCTTCCCTTCCTCCTGACACCCTTCCCCTGGCAGTTTCGACAGTCTGGACCCTTGCCTTTGACCCAGCACTGGGCCGGGACTCTGCCCATCTGGTGGAGATTCACATGGCAAGATCCCTGTCTCTGTGCAGATTGTCACCCCACACACTCAGCCGGCCCCAAACCGCGGAGGCCCTAACAGAACTTCAAAAGATATTGCAAGGGAAGATAACCACAGACTGCCGTCTGCAGACATCTGAGAAGACTTCCTGGAAGAAGAGTCACACTTTGAGCTGCTAAAAGGTTGAAACTTGAAGGAACAGTAATCTGCTGGCCCTTGACGGAGGACGGGAATAGCAGTTTTGCTGGTGCGTGGGTGACCTCTAGAGGTGATGGCAGAGATTACAGGCTGAAGGACTTGAGCTGCTCGGTTTAGAGGGTGCCAAAGAGCCCAAGAAGAAGCTAGGAGTGGCAACCAGTGGGAAGGGCCTTGGAGGAGGGTCAGCACCTGACTTCTGAGAAGTCAGTTGGCCTTAGGGGGTGAGAGAAAAGCTCTAGCCAGTTGTGAAATCTGAGGGGAGGGAGGGTCATGATTATGCCCTTTACTCTCCTGTCCCTTCCCCCACCAGGTCCTGCTCTGCTCAGACCTTTTTGAGCTTCGTCTACTACCCTCCACTTCTCTCCCACCGCTCATCTGACCTGAGACAGGCGTGCAGGCAGTTTGTTGGGAAGTGATCCCAGAAAACTGGGGAAGGAGTGGGGCTGAGAGGAACAGGCAAGGCAGCCGGTAGAACATGCAAGTGGGGGGCACTTACCCAACCAGGGTACCTCCTCTCACTGGCTGAGGGCTGCGGGGCGGGTGGGGGTGTCCCTCTTCAGTCCTTCCCACTTGCCCTGGATTCTGCAGCCAGAACGAAGCCCTCAGGGGCTGGTGGTGAGCATCCTTTCCGTAGAGGTGAGTGCTAATGGGGTGTGGGCGCCGGCAATGTGGACCACACCGCCAATCCCAGGGGCACTCCTCTGGTCTATCCCTGGCCCCATTGGTCTGTGAGAGCCTCTGTTACCGCCCTAGCACCACACACACACAAGTGAGTGTTAGTTAACAGTGGACTCCAACAGTACATGGGAGGAATCCTTGGGAAGTCGAGCCTGAAGCTGTGAGAGCAGGTGAGGTGGCTGCAGGCAGAATTCAGGAAAAGACCAAAAATTAAAACTGCAGTAGCAGCTGATCTCTTGTGTATTGAAAACTAAGTGCCAGGCACTGGGCCGGCAATTTACACAGCGTCTCATTTGGTCCCGGCAACAAATCTATGATGCACAGCACGTTCAATTATAGTCTTAATTTTTCAGAGGAGGTTTACCGAGGTTGCTAAAGATGCAAACCCAGCTCTGCCTGCCTTCCAAAACATTGCTCTCAGGCTCTGGACTGAGCAAATAAAAGAGGAGGGGGCCCAGATACGCAGTAGCCTAAGTACGACCCCCTCAAACATACACACTGCAGCTCTGTGAGGGCCGGCGGCGCCATGTCCCTCCTGGGTCATCAGCCCCCCGGGAAGCACTGAATGAATGCTTATCCACGATCACGCAGGGACCCGAATGGCGCCCCTTTCCCCGTGCCTTCCACGGATCCACAAGGCTCCGGTGGGGGTGGGCGGGGAGCTCCAAGACCGCGTCCCGCACACAGCCCAGGCCCACCCGGTGGTTTCAGACAGATCTCATTCGGTTCAAGTCCAGCGATGCGGTGGGGTTGAGCAGGGAGGGGGTTACCCCAGCCATGAAGCCCACTGCAGCCGAGCACGCCACTGAGGGAGGCACCGGGAGCAATCCCAGTACGCCAGACGGGGCAGCCTGCAGCCGCGCCGGCGTAGGCTTGAGCGCGCGCGCGGGACAAAACATTTTCCTCCGGTCGTAGCCCCCTCCGCAGCGGGTCTGGCCGCGCGCCCGGCGCCCCCCAACGGGCTTCCAAGCGCCTCTTCGGGGCGGCGATGAAAACTCGCGAAGACTGGAGCTGCGAAAAGGCGGGCAAAGTTCCCTTTGATAAGTTATGAATGGGGAGGCAGTGTTCGCAGAACTCATTGTTAAAACCGCGGAGCCGTAGCCTCGGCCCGCGCGCGGCCAATCAGGGCCCGCAGGCTATTTTGAAATCGCTCTGGCCCCAGCCAACGGGCGCGTTCGGGGCGGAGCCGGCGCCGCCGCCGGCCAATGGGCGCGGCGCTATGCTAAGGAGCCGGGCCGCCGCCTGTCAGCGGGTTAAAGATGGAGCCGGCGGCCGGAGGGCGCCACGAGGTGCGGGGTGGTCCTTGCGGGAGGCTCGGGTGGACGGCCGCCCGGACCTCTCTCCGCCACCTCCCGAGACCTGCCGCGGCCCGGGGGGAGGAAGGGGCGTCCGCCGCGTGAGTAGCTGGGTCCGAGGTGGGGGCGCGGGGCAGGGTGGCCCTCTCCTCCGGGGTGGGGGGGGGTGGTGGTGGTGTGGAGGGGCGCAGCCCAAAATCCCGGGCGTCCCGCTCCGAGCAGGGGACTACAGAGGGTCGGGAAGCCCCCTCGTCCCTCTTCTCTCTGGGCCGCCGGGCAGGGAGTCTACCGGGACAGAATGAGGGGCCCAAGCTGGGGGCCGGGGCCGGGGGCCTGAGTTGGCGGGGGGCGCGCCGGCCCGGAGTTGGTGGGGGTCACCCTTCTTTTTTCCGAGGCGCAGGCCGGGCAAGAGCGCAGGGTCGTCAGGCTGTATCCACCCTCGCCCCAGGCGCCAGTGGGCTTCTGACCGCACAGGAGCGCGGGCGCCTCTCCTTTGTGTGTGTGCCCTCTCCGCGGTCCGCTCCCGCTCAGCTGCTGGAGCCGCCCCTCTGTCCGGGGTTCGCATACCCACGGCTCTCCGGAGGGTGCCGGGGAAGGTCTGGCTCCCTTGGGGGTCCTGGGACCCCAAGGACTGCAGCCCCGCGGTGAGATTCCTTCCGCGCCCTGCTATCTAGGAATGGGCCCCTAGCCCCACCCACCCAGGGTTGAGCTTGCTTCCCGCCCTGCGTCTCCCGGGGGCGGTGGGAGTCCCTCCTGCTGGCCGCAGGCGCTCTGACGAGGTTGCACTACTGTGCTTTGAGGAGCAGTGCAATGATATTGTCAAAGCCTCTGGGACCAGCCTTGGAGACCCCTTCCCCCACACTGCCACTTCCCTTCCCCAGGCGGGCCCCCGGACCTGCACGCCCTCCCCTCCCCCTGCCCAGTGGGCTCTCTTCTCCATGGAAACTTGAGATCCTGGCCAGGCCTGGGCCTCTGGGGTCAGAGGGCACCCTTCCCCCAGGCAGAGGCCCCGCCCCAGTGGGCCTGCATTCTGGGCCTCAGATCCAGGCCGACCACCGGGAGAGGCGCTGGCAGGCCTGCCTGACACTCTTTCCCTGTTGCACTACTGTGCGCCCCTGGGAAGCAGTGCAATGATGAAAGGGCATCGGTCAGGCCCCGCTCACCACCCACAGCGCCCGGACAGGGAGTCTGGCCGCTTCACTCCACTAACCAGCAAGGAGGCACAGGTGCGGAGCTGGGCCTGTGGGCCCTCCATTGGAGGATCAGACGGCAGAGCTGGGAGGTTCTCTCCCAACCTCTCCATCTAGGTTGTGGCTGGACAGGGGGTGGGGCAGACTCAGAAAAGCTATGGTTTGAAGAGGATCTTTGCAACCAACTCTCAGGTAAGACTGAGGGCTCAAGGTTTGGTCAGGACCCTGTGGACAAAGAGGCCCACTGCTTTGCCCGAAGGGTCTGCCTGGGCCTGGCTCAGACCCAGCTTCACCTGCATTGACTTCCTGGGGGTGCCCTGGCATGCCTGGGGAGAACGTTCTGGGTCCTCCACGGAGCAGTGCTAGCTGGGGTGGATGGCGGGCTCAGGAAATGGAGCCCCGTGCCCCCCACCCATGCCCACTTGTTCTCTTACAGGAACGTGTGCTGCCCTGAGCCTGCAGGCGGGACGGTGAGGTGCCCAGCATCCCACCCGCACAGCTGAAATCGTGCGGACTGGAGCCGACCTGCCACAGAGATTGGCCCCAGGCGTGCCTGCAGGGCCCCCTCAGCATCAGGACCAGACACAAAGGATTTTCGTGTGCCCAGTGGCAGCCATTCAAGCCTGTCTCCTTGAGAGGGGGCCCATTTGTGTCTGAAGGGGCATTTGGGAGTACCCTTCATCAGTGGCTGTGCCCAGAGGGACAGTGACTTCACCCCCTGCCCTGGGGTAGAAGCCCTCGCACCCTGGGTAGGATGAGGGACAATGACACCTGCTCGTCTACCTCCTAGGCCTGACCCCTTGGGGTTCCTCCAGCCCAGGATCACCTGACTCAGGCCCCCCTTGCTCCTGTGCAGACTCTATACCCCATGGCCAAACACGCCATGCAGCTGTTTCCTGCCTTTGCTGGGAACTCAGGTCTCTGCTCAAACCTCCCCTCCTAAGGAAAGCCTTCCTTGGGCTCCAGGGCACCCAGTGTTCCTCGACCAGGGCCTGTTAGATCACATTTCCACCTGTGGCTGAAGCCCTCTTTAGACCAGGAGCCCCTGAAAGCAGCAAACATTTCGTTTTTGGCAGTGCTCAACACGGCATACTTTTAAAAATCCAAAGAAACATATAAAGCGTGAAGTATCAGCATAAACATGAAGGGGATGTTAATCAAGGGCCTGCCTGACCTCTCAGAGGATGCTTGTCCTGGTATTAAAAAAGCACACACTATTTTAGAGTCAAGTCCTTAAGTCACAGGTGGCCAGCCAGGCAACAGAATGGAGATTTGGAGGCAGGTGTATCTGAGTCTGTCTGCAGCCCTAGGCAAGATACACAGGCCAGAGCTTCTCCTTCCTTGGAGGAGGGAGACCTTAAAGTGGGAGGAAGTGAAGGCCACCTGTGTTGGGGACAGCTGGGGCTGGTGGTTTGGAGGTTTGGTGGTAGGAGATGAAAAAATCTCAAGATCTTGGGGCTGACAGGAGGGGGTGTGGGGAGGGGAAAGAAACAGCACTCCAGGGAGCACCCCGCCCCCCCCAGGCAGAGACTGGAATGGATGGTGGTGTTGGTCCCTGGCCAGGTAGGAGAGGGAAAGTAAGAAGCAGGTTGTGGAGGGGGAAAGAAGCTGCCAGTTTCTGATGTGCTGAGTGTGAGATGCCCAGGAAACATCCCCCGCCCCCGGGGACACGTACATGTGGGTCTGGATCCCAGGGAACTTGGGGTTCAGTCAGTTCTGGGTTGAGACTAAGGAGAGGGTAAGATGTCCAAGAAGGGATGGTGAAGACCCTCCTGGAGAGTAAGTCCAGAAAGGAGGTGTAAACTCCGGGGCTACAGGATTCGTGGGCAGGGAAAAGTCTCCTGGCATTGACGTCCCTCACGTCCCCCAGACCCTGAGGAGGGGAGCAGCCAGGGTGTGAGGGGCCTGGAGGCAGCCCAGGTCCCAGGGTCTCAAAAGAGATTGCGAGTTGGCCGGCCGGGAGCGGGGTGGGCCCCGTCGAAGCCTGAGGGCCCCGTCGAAGCCTGAGGGCCCCGTCGAAGCCTGAGGGCGCATGCGCGGAGCGCATGCATTGTCACGTGCTGCCGCCCCCCTCGCGGTCTCCTGGGAGTGGCCCGAGCGGTCCAGGCGGCGACGCGCGCGGTGGCTGGGGGACAGCGGTGCGTCCCGGGCCGAGCCCCGAAGGGCAATCCAGTTCTGGCCCTCGGGGCGGGTGGGCTGGGTGCGCTCAGACCCCGGGAGTCCCGCCTGGATAGTGGCGGAGCTGCAACACTCGGGGGGCTTCCCTGTCTCCCGGGGCGGGTGGGGTGGGCGCGCCCCGACCGCCGCTCGGTCCCCAGGCACCCGAGCCGCCGAAGCCCCCGAGGATGGAGGTCCTGGACGAGTTCGACAGCGAGTTCCCCCAGACTGTGACCTTCTGCCAGCTCATCTCCGAGGAGGACTTTGAGAGGCAGGCGGCGACCTACACGGAGCGCGCGCTGCGCCGCCTCTTCCGCAGTCTCGACCGCAACCCGGCGCTGGCCGAGCGCGTGGTGCGCAGGGGCAAGCAGGCCGAGTGCGAGCGGCGCGGGCTCCTCTCCTTCCTCTGGGTGCGGCCGGCCGGGCGGGGTCGGGGCGGCCCCGGGTCGGGGGCGGCTGGGGGCCCCGGCGTGGGCGGCGGGCTGGGGGCCCCGGCGTGGGCGGCGGCGCGGGGGCTTCCCAAAGGCGGCGGCTCAGGCATCTGGCTTCCTCCACCCTGCCTCGCCTGCGGCCCTCGCAGGCCAAGGCGTCGTGTGCAGTCCAGGGGGAGCTGAACTGCTCCAACAGCATGGGCGCCCTGGAGATGCACCAGCGCTTGGAACAGCTGAAGAGACGCATCCACCGCGTGCACCTCTACTCCCAGGGTGAGCCCACCGCCTGCTGCGCCGGCCTGCCCACTCACACCTCCCCGCGGGGCCACAGCGGGCTTTCCAAGCCGGCTCGGTCGGTCAGGACCCCTGGAGGCCCGCACACTGTTTGGGTGGGAAGCAAATTCGTGTTCGCATGGGGACAGGTGAGGGTGGAGCTGGAAGGTGGCCGCGTTCACTGCCACATCGGGAACGCAACTGAGGAAGAGGCCACTCTGTTGACACCCGCTATGTGGTGGGGTGACCTCGCTTTCCCCCGGATGCCCTGGACTGAAGAACTGTGTTTTCCTTTGGGGAACCCACTCAGTTTGTGTCCCTTGTCGGGGTCCCCTGGTGTATTTGCTTGTTCCCTTCTGCCTGTGTGTCTTGGACGGTTGCTCTGAAGCTGTGATGAGGTTTGGATCTGGTCCTTGGGTGTGTCCATGTTCAGGGGTGTGCCATGGCGGTGAACGCCTTTGTTGCGCATCAGAGGCCCTGGCTCACCTGGGCGGGGGTGGGGGTAGTCTCACGGCACTCTTTCATCCAACTGACCCCCACAGCATGTGTAGCTCTCATGACAGACTTCCAAGGTGTTCAGTTCAGTCGCTCAGTCATGTCCGACTCTTTGCGACCCCATGAACCGCAGCACACCAGGCCTCCCTGTCCATCACCAACTCCCGAAGTCCACCCAAACCCATGTCCATCGAGTCGGTGATGCCATTCTCACCATCTCATCCTCTGTCCTCCCCTTCTCCTCCTGCCCTCAATCTTGCCCAGCATCAGGGTCTTTTCCAGTGAGTCAGTTCTTCAAATCAGGTGACCAAAGTATTGGAGTTTCAGCTTCAGCATCAGTCCTTCCAATGAACACCCAGGACTGATCTCCCCTAGGATGGACTGGTTGGATCTCCTTGCAGTCCAAGGGACTCTCAGAGTCTTCTCCAACACCACAGTTCAAAAGCATCAATTCTTCAGCTTTCCTTATAGTCCAACTCTCACATCCATTCATGACCACTGGAAAAACCATAACCTTGACTAGACGGACCTTTGTTGGCAAAGTAATGTCTCTGCTTTTTTTTTTTTAATGTCTCTGCTTTTTAATATGCTGTCTAGGTTGGTCATAACTTTCCTTCCAAGGAGCAAGAGTCTTTTAATTTCATGGCTGCAATCACCATCTGCAGTGATTTTGGAGCCCAGAAAAATGAAGTCAGTCACTGTTTCCACTGTTTCCCCATCTATTTGCCATGAAGTGATGGGACCAGATGCCATGATCTCAGTTTTCTGAATGTTGAGCTTTAAGCCAACTTTTTCATTCTCTTTCACTTTCACCAAGGGGCTTTTTAGTTCCTCTTCACTTTCTGCCATAAGGGTGGTGTCATCTGCATATCTGAGGTTATTGATAGTTCTCCTGGCAATCTTGATTCCAGCTTGTGCTTCTTCCAGCCCAGCGTTTCTCCTGATGTACTCTTCATATAAGTTAAATAAGCAGGGTGACAGTATACAGCCTTGACGTACTCCTTTTCCTATTTGGAACCAGCCTGTTGTTCCATGTCCAGTTCTAACTGTTGCTTCCTGACCTGCATACAGGTTTCTCAAGAGGCAGGTCAGGTAGTCTGGTATGCCCATCTCAGAATCGTGGCGTTATTTATCCCTGTTTTATTTTTATTTTTTATTTTTTTTCCTGTTTTATAGAAGAGGAGATGGAGGCCCAGGGTTGGTTGCCCAGCCTATGTGGGCCACACAGGAGTGGTGGTGCTGAATGGGGACTCAGGCCAGGGTTGCTCCAGGTGCAGGCCCTCAGCCTTATAGCCCATCAGCACCCCCAGCAGCGCTCATTCTCTCCTGAGGGCCTTGTTGACCCCTACGATGTTGATGGGCTCTAGATTTGAACCGTAGAAAGACCCAAACTCATGAGAACAGGGGCGAGGCGCGGGGAGGCCCTGGGTGTCTCCCTGAGCTCACTTCGGATTTCCTCCCCGTGGGCCCTCTGCACACCCCCAGGATGACCCAGGGCTGGGTGGCATTAGTGGGCTCACTGTCCGGGGCCTGGACACCCCTCGGGGGCACTGGCAGACTCCACCGCGGGTGACTCTAGAGTGGATGGCAGGCTAACCTCGGTGGTGACATTCCACCACTTCCCATGGAATTCTGTCCTGGCACACAACCTGGCGGGGCTCCGGCCTGTGCCTTGGGTGGTTCGGACTTCCCTGTGGGGCGGCCGAGGGGCCAGGGAGATGGTACGTGTGGGTGCCCGTCGACGGTGGCCTTGGGCGTGGTCTCCCGGTGCCCTGTGTGGGCCTGTGTCTCCCCTCCCACACCTGGCCAGGCCTGGGGTGGGTGCTCACCGACGCCTCCTGTCCCAGACGCCAAGAAGAGGAGGAGGAGGCGGAGACCGAAGAACCCGGAACGCGTCGTCTTGCAGGACAGCTCGACTTCCTCATGCCTGCCCCCAGCCCTGCCGCTGCCCACACCACCGCTGCCGCCTGCCGCCGCAACGGCCGCCGCAACGGCCTCCACATTGGCCCCGCCACCCGCTGTCTACACTATGCCCAGGGTCTTTGGCCCCTTCGCTCCGCTGCCCAGCACATCGGTCAGTGGTCCGCGGAGGGGCAGCCTCTGCACCCTGCTCAGAATCACCCCAGCGATTCACTGGCCCCATGGGAGAGGCTCCCAGAACCTTCTCGGCAGGCAGCAGTAGACAAGCGGATGACGAGGGCCGCTCTGCTCGCAGTGTTGGGTGGGGGATGCGCAGGACCACACCTGCCTGACCTCAGGGCGCTTGGCTGGACCTCAGGGCTCCTGGGGGATGCCCGCCGCCCACCTCCCCTCGGGGCCATCCTCCCGGCTGCCCTCGGAGTGCCTCTGCAGCGGCCTTCCTCCTTGGCCGCCCTCCTGACTCCTGCTTACCCGTCACCTGCCCCCGGGCAGGGCCAGGGCCTCCTCTGCGAGCTCCCAGGCCCCGTCCCCCTAACACCAAGCCCCAGCTGGCCGCCAGCATGACCTGGCATGCTTGCCGGTTGGCGGAAAGGCACAGCGTCCCCCTAGTTCTTGGAGAAGGGGCTTCTCTTCCCGAGGAGGACCCCACACTTGTCCAGTTTCCTTTGTTTCCTGCAGCTGGAGAAAGTGGAAGTTTCAAGGTCTGAAGTGAAATTAAACTGGACTTGCCTGTCATCAAACCCAAAGAGGTGGGAGGATTTATTCGGGGCCCCAATCAGACTACAGAGGGGCTTAGGGGAAACTGCTCTTCTCTGGCCCATCCGGGATCCAGTCCTCCCTCTCAGATGTTCCTCCTGCATCCTGAGTGCTCCCTTCCCCTCATCCGCTCGTGCACGGCCCATGCCCCCCTGCCTCACCCTGTCTTGCAGCCACATGGTCGACCTGACCCCCCGGTCCTCAGTCCTGGGGGCTTCCACTTCTACCTGACCAGGAACCACGCGCACAAGCTCCACTTCCCCTGGTGAGTGCGCCCTGGGAGGAAGTGCAGGGTGGTGGCCCCTCCCACTTCCGGGAGGTGCCCTATTTTCATCGGGGACCCTAAAGCTGGAGAGCGGCTGCCCCTTCCCAGTGCTTGTAATGGTGCGAAAGCGGAACCAAACTGCCCAGGGCCCAACATAAAGGCAGCGATTCCATCCGCTGGGGGCAGCCCTGGGATCGATCTATACATGGTTCTGCAAGTCAGGTGTTTCCTGAATGTGTGGTTTTCTTTTATTTGAAATTAGCTTTTTTGGTGAAGTATTTCCCATGTCATTGAGTGTTGAGATTGCAGCTTCATTACGTTAGAGGCCTTTTTTGTTTGTTTTTAAACAGCTTTTTTGAGGTATTATTCACATGGCATATAATTCACCCATTTAAAATAATACCAGTGCCGGGAATTCCTGGTGGTCCAGTGGTTAGGATTCGGTACTGCAGGGCCCAGGGTCAATGCCTGGTTCAGGGAACTAATCCCACAAGCTGCCTGGTGTGGCAAAAAAAAAAACAAACCCCTTTTCAGCCGGAACCGCCATCTTCCAGTAATTCGCCAAAATGACCAACACAAAGGGAAAGAGGAGGGGCAGCCGCTAGGTGTTCTCTAGGCCTTTGAGAAAACATGGAGTTGTTCCTTTGGCCACATACATGCGAATCTACAAGAAGGGTGATATTGTAGATATCAAGGGAATGGGTGCTGTTCAAGAAGGAATGCCCCACAAATGTTACCACGGTAAAACTGGGAGAGTCTACAGTGTTACCCAGCATGCTGTTGGCATCATTGTAAACTAACAAGTTAAGGGCAAGATTCTGGCCAAGAGAATTAATGTGCGTATCGGGCATATTAAGCACTCTAAGAGCCGAGATAGCTTCCTAAAACGTGTGAAGGAAAATGATCAGAAAAAGAAGGAAGCCAAAGAGAAAGGGACTTGGGTTCAGCTGAAGTGCCAGCCTGCTCCACCCAGAGAAGCACACTTTGTGAGGACCAGTGGAAAGGAACCTGAACTGTTGGAACCCATTCCCTATGAATTCATGGCCTGAAGGGTGTAAAAATAAAGACCTGGACTGTAAAAAAAACAAACAAAAAAAACAAACCCAAGACCCCCCCCAAAGCCTAGAAACTCACCAGAAATAAATGCAGGATACCCACCCCATTGTGTGGACGGAGCATCATTCACTCAACTACTCTCGTGTGCTGAAATATTCCCTTAGTGGGGACAGTTTTCCGCATCCTGTCACGTGCTGCTCTCTGAGCGAGCTGTGCTGCCTCCTGGTGCCATCACCAAAAATGGGTTGTTTTTGTTTTTTAAAAGTACAAAAGCAGAACATATTCTATGGGAAAAAGTTCAAAATACAGAAATGAATACATAAAATACAAGAGTCCCAATACATTGGTTGCTTTTGTAAATCAAGGCAGGCTCACACCGCCGCTTGCCCTGATGGCTATTTGGATCATCTCTGGGTTTACACAGTCCCAAACATTGCTGCGATGGACAGCTTTGAGCAAACATCCCACGTGAGGGGTTTCCAGCGGCAGGAATGTAGCGAGACCATCACACGGCCTGGGTTCCGTGGTGTGTTCCTCTGCTGGCCCTGTATGCGCCTCCTGAATCCAAACCCATGTCTTCTGTGTCTCCTGCACAGGACCTCAGTCTGTAGTAGCCCTGCCGCCGCCGAGGAGGTGCCGTCCTCGTCTCTGAAGGCTTCCATCTTCACCCCGCCTGTCCTGCTCAAGTTCCAGCCTGTGCCCAGACCCAAAGATGACTCAGAGAATGACCCTGGCAGCACAGAGTCTGTGCCCCACCAGAGGGACCAGTCACCTCTTCCGTGCAGACCACAGCCAGAGGATGAATAAATCCCCTGCTGGCGTCTTCCCACAGCCATCCCCTCACCTGCGCCTGACCCAGGGTCTCAGCCCTGGGCACTCTCAAAGAGCAGTGGGTGAGGGGAGCTGCCTGCACTGGAGTGACTCTGTGACCCCTTTGGGCCTCACTTGATCCCACTGAGTTACAAGACTACCAGTTTTTGCTATGCCTGGCCCCCAAACACAAGCCTTAGAAACAGTGGTCCGTTGCCCCCATGGGATGACAATGAGCCAGTGAGTCGGTTTCCAACTTGGCGCCTCCCTAAAGAGTTTCAAAGACATGTGACTCTGATCACCTTGCACGCTGACCTTAAAATCAACCGGCATGTGGGATGTGCGTCTCCACGAAGTGCTCGATGATGCTGGCGGGTAGAGTAGATGGTGCTTGAGCCCTTAGGTATGCCCTGCACCTTGCTTGGGTCTTCCCAGGTGGCGCTGCTGGTAAAGAACCTGCCTGACGCAAGGGACACCGGTTCCATCCCTGGATTGGGCAGATCCCCTAGATGAGGGCATGGCAACCCACTCCAGTATTCTTGCCTAGAGAGCCCCATAGACAGGAGCCTGGCGGGCTACAGTCCATGGGGTTGAAAAGAGTCAGACACAACTGAAGCAACAGCACACAGCACGCACACACCTTGCTTGTGCTTGGAGATAGCAGGCAAGTAGTTGGGATCCTGGCTCTTAGGGAAGTTATGTCTCAACCTGCAGACAGAGAGAGAGTGTGTGTGTGTTTGTATGCATGTGTGTGGTAAGCCAGTACACAGATAGATTAGCACAGGATTACAAGTGGTGACAAGCCCTTGAGGGAGTTGAGATGGAGCTGTATAGGGTGACTGGCTGTGCTGGGGTCCAGCCTCGGCAGGATCCAGGGGGTACCCTCAGGATGAACGGCCTCGGCGAGAGAGAGAGAGAAGACGCATGAGACCAGCCTTGATAGGGCCAAGTCTCAGGATGGAAAGAGAGGAGAGAGAGAGAGACCAGATGGGGGTGCAGCCGAGTCTGGCGGAGTCTGGCAATGCTTTATTTTTTTACCGTAGCTTTTATACCCTAAGTTGGTACATTTCTGAGGGGAAGATAGTTTAACATTACGTCAGCTTGTCCTTCACGAAACCAGGGTGTTTTCTGCATACTTCTTTGTTTATGAGGGTCTTGTACATTATCTTCTGGCCTTGGGGCCTATTGACATTTTATGCAGGTCAGGTGAATGTAAACTTATTGTCTGTTTCTACAGTGACCTTAACTGAAAGGTAGCAGTCTTATAGGGCAACAGTACAGAGTAGAAGTATAACCTTGTTAACACAAAAATTAATCCTTCTGCAGAAGTTGTCCATTGCGTTTATCTAAGAAGTTTTACCCCACACAGACTCTGCCGCTTCAGTGAGGCAGCCTCTGCCTAGCACTCCTGGCTGACAATTAACAACCATCTCATTGTTACCACACTAGGGCTAAGCTCTTATTTCTCTAGATCTTTAACTATATTAACAATGGTTTCTATAACACAACCTTAGCACATTAAGAGCAAAAACACAGCAAGCAAACGTCAATCCAATAACCATCTTTAGAATAATTTTTCTTGTGTTTTTTAATAGGACTTCCTCACTCCCCGAAGGGCTCTATGTCTACTTGGGCCTTTATATGATCAGGTTCTTTATGTTATTTTATGATTAGGGTATTATAAGCAATCATGCATATTAGTACCAAGGGCATAAACGCATCTGCCAAACAAACTAGAATGCCAGCAAAGGAGTTTAAAACACTCCTTTCACCCTGGATAATAAAATGCCACCACCCGGGAAACTTATTGATTAAAGTTCTAAATTGATTCTTATTTGGGAAGAGATCGGGGAAGGCCTTCTGCCTGTGTCACAGAAATTAGGGAGTAGTCCATTGAGGCAGGCACCAGAAAGACAGAGATCATCTTTAAGGTGAGCGCCGGGGGCAGCGTTTCAGAATCCCTGGAAACCTGACCCGCCTTGCCCGTCAGGCTTTCTCCTCGTGACCTTGTCATGGGTAGGGTCTCGTGTGTGGGCTCCCGGCATGGCTGGATAGTGGTACTCCGAGGAGAGTGGACCCTAGAGGGGGAAGAGAATTCTGCTTTAGCAGACATGTTGAATTCGAGTTCACTGGGTGCCTGATTAGAGGGCAGGAGTCAGGAGTGCTCGCCATTTAGTGTTGGGAAGCAAGGGATACAGGTGTTTAAAGCCACGACCCCGGGTGAGATCACCCAGTGCTTGAGTGCAGAAAGAGGTCTGAGGCTTGGCCCGGGGCACCCCAACGCGGTGGTCTGGCGGAGGGAAGAGGCTGAAGGGATCGTGAGGGCTTTGGATCTAAGGGCTTGATGGCTACCTGCCCCTGGGTCGCCCAGGAGAGAGGGCCTGCAGGGGGTGGGGTCCGGGTGAGCGGTGAGAGGGCGGCTAGCGAATGTGGGTGTCCATCTGGAGGTGTCGGCCTGGGGCAGAGATGGGGCCGAGGCCCGGGGGCCTTAGGGGCTCCGAGCGGAAGACCTGAGAAGCCAGGTCAGACCAGGGCGGGTTTGGGAGGGGATGGCGTTGAGCTGGGGCCAGGCAGGCACGCTAGGTAGGCGGTGCAGAGAGAAGTGCAGGGACAAGAGGCTTCAACACCGAGACTCTTCAGCCTCAGAGCGCAGGAAGCTTCTGCGCCCGGCGGGCGTGCGCTCGGGGTGGGGGCGGGGTCAACCAGGGACCACAATTCCCGGCGTGCTCAGCGCTCGCTTCCGGGGCGGGTCAGCGGGACCCGGAAGTAGTTACGGAGTTCGGCCGGGACGCCGCGGTCTGAGGTGTATTTTTCACCTGTTTTCTGCACTCGCTGACCCTGCCGTCGCCATGGGGAAGCGACAGCACCAGAAGGACAAGATGTGAGTTGAGCCGTCGCCGCCGCCAGGAGCGGGCTTGTCCGCTCCGCGCCCCGTCCCGGAGCTCCTCTAGACGCTGCTTCCCCGGAAGCCTCCGCGGTCCCCCGCGGGGCGCCCCCTCAGGCGGAGGTCTGCGGGTCTCCGGGGCCCCGTCCTCTCCGCCCCTTCGACGCCGTTGCGCCGGAAACCTCCGCGGTTCTCCGCAGGGAGCCCCCATCGGGCTCTGGTCTCCGGCCTCCCGTTCTCTCCGGCCCTTCGACGTCGCTTCGCCGGAAACTTCCGTCCGTCGCGGGGCGCCCGCCTCAGGCGCGGGTCTCTGGGGTCCAGTCCGCTCGGCTTCTCAGGCTCGCCAGCTCTTTCCTGGCGGGTCTCCTCGGGCGCGGTCTCGTCCCCCGCCCCCCGATGCGCTCCCGAGCTCCAGCATCTTCCAGTTAAACCCACTTGGGCCCCCCAGCTGCAGTCGAGTTTCTTTGATTTTCTTAACAGTGAGACGCTATTCAGGACTACTTTCCTTTAGGATGAACTGGTCGGATCTCCTTGCTGTCCAACACTCTCAAGAGTGTTTTCCAAGAGTCTTCTCCGATGGTTTTTCCAGTAGTCATGTATGGATGTGAGAGTTGGGCTATAAAGAAAGCTGAGTTCCGAAGAATGGATGCTTTTTTTTTTTTCATTTATTTTTATTAGTTGGAGGCTAATTACTTTACATCATTGCAGTGGTTTTTGTCATACATTGAAATGAATTAGCCATGGATTTACATGTATTCCCCATCCCGGTCCCCCCTCCTACCTCCCTCTCCACCCGATCCCTCTGGGGCTTCCCAGTGCACCAGGCCCGAGCACTTGTCTCATGCACCCAACCTGGGCTGGTGATCTGTTTCGCCCTAGATAATATATGTGTTTCGATGCTGTTCTCTTGAAACATCCCACCCTCGCCTTCTCCCAGAGTCCACAAGTCTGTTCTATACATCGGAGTCTCTTTTTCTGTTTTGCACATAGGGTTATCGTTACCATCTTTCTAAATTCCATATATATGTGTTAGTATACTGTAATGGTCTTTATCTTTCTGGCTTACTTCACTCTGTATAATGGGCTCCAGTTTCATCCATCTCATTAGAACTGATTCAAATGAATTCTTTTTAATGGCTGAGTAATATTCCATGGTGTATATGTACCACAGCTTCCTCATCCATTCGTCTGCTGATGGGCATCTAGGTTGCTTCCATGTCCTGGCTATTATAAACAGTGCTGCGATGAACATTGGGGTGCACGTGTCTCTTTCAGATCTGGTTTCCTCGGTGTGTATGCCCAGAAGTGGGATTGCTGGGTCATATGGCAGTTCTATTTCCAGCTTTTTAAGAAATCTCCACACTGTTTTCCATAGTGGCTGTACTAATTTGCATTCCCACCAACAGTGTAAGAGGGTTCCCTTTTATCCACACCCTCTCCAGCATTTATTGCTTGTAGACTTTTGGATAGCAAGAATGGATGCTTTTGAACTGGTGTTGGAGAAGACTCTTAAGAGTCCCTTGGACTGCAAGGAGATCCAACCAGTCCATCCTAAACGAAATCAGTTCTGAATATTCATTGGAAGGACTGATACTGAAGCTGAAGCTCCAGTACTCTGGCCACCTGATGGGAAGAACTGATTCATTGGAAAAGACCCTGATGCTGGGAAAGATTGGAGGCAGGAGAAGGGGATGACAGAGGATGAGATGGTGGGATGCCATCACCAACCCAGTGGACATGAGTTTGAGTAAACTCCGGGATTTGGTGATGGACAGGGAGGCCTGGTGCGTGCTGCAGTCCATGGGGTCGCAAAGAGTCAGACACGACTGAGCAACTGAACTGACTGACGAAATAAGGAAGATCTGTGTGTGTCGACCTGCAATTTTCTGCTTTCCCTTTGACCCCACTTCAGTCAGGGTCTGCCCACATTGCTCCTGTTGGGATCCCTTAACTCCGGTGGGGCTCCATCCGGGGGTCAGCTCTCCGTCCTTGCTTCGTAGGGCGCGCCTGACCACCTCTCTCCCTCTGGAGCCCTTCCTCGGTGTCTGGGACACCTCTGTTTTCCGGGTTTCTTCAGAGGGGCCGCTCTCTGGGTTCCCTCTGCTGGGTCCTCGCCTTCCCAGACCTCCTAGGTCGCCTCCCTACGTTTCCTGTTTGTTTAACATTCCTCGGGTGATGGCTCCAGCCTGGCTTACAGCACCGCCCCTGGAAGCTCCAATGGGCTTGTGGAGTTCAGTGAGTGAGCACCGCTGTGAGAGGAACTTTTTGCTCTTGGAAGGGACTTTTTTTTTTTTTTTTTAGCATTTTTGTTGAATTTGTACCAGTATTGCTTTTGATTTATGTTTTGGTTTTTTGACGGCAAGGCATACAGGATCTTAGCTCCTCCAGCAGGCATGGAACCTGCACCCCCTGCATTGAAAAGCAAAGAGGAACTCGTTCACTGTCAGCACTTGAGCCTGCTCTTCCCCTGTTTTCCCCTCTCAGTGGTCGCACCCTGGCTCCTTCACTGGGGTCAGAAGCCTGGGAGTTTCCCTCTGGCTCCTGTCCCTCAGTAAGTCCTGCTGGCACGTCCAGGAGCTGACCGCATCTGGCTGGTCCACCCGTCTGCTCAGGTGGAGTTTCTGCCAGCTCCGTCTTGGACCTTTGCAGTCACTCTTTGATCGGTTTCTGCTGCCTCCTGCCTGAGCCTCTGCACAGCGCAGCCAGAGTGACGATTTGAGGACTCAGGGCCCTGTCAGAACCCCGCAGTGCCTCCATCCTGCCTGAAGCCACTCCAGAGTCCTCCCACAGCCTGCAGGGACCCTGGTGCACCCACGCCCCAAGTCTCCTTCCTCAGCAGCCCCCACCCCTGGGCATGCGAGGTCCCTCTACCTGGAAAGCTCTCCCCCCAGGTCTTCATGTGGCCAGCCGCTTCTCACCGTTAACTCTGCTGTTAAATTGAGCTCATCTGCACAGGAGGACTGTTTGGGTTTGCTTACGGGTTTGTGTATTGCCCGTATCTGTATTCTGTTTATCACAATGTGTCTGACATGTAGTAGGTGTTTAATAAGTATTTGCCAAATGAGCGAAGTGATTAGGTCATTGGTTTATTTCCAGAGACTCTGTCTTCTTTATGAAAGGGGAAGTAGTAAGGTTCTCTCTCTCTCCAGGTACATCACCTGTGCTGAATATACTCACTTCTATGGTGGCAAGAAACCAGGTAAGACGTGAAATCCTTCTGTTCCCTTTGAGTCTGTGGGTGTAGCTAAAGGATGGTGTCTTCCCTGTAGAGTGAGCCTGTGAAAGTGAACAATTAACAAGAAGATGGAAACTATAGTGGACAGATGGGCTGAGGATGCAGCTCACAAAAGAGGAGGCACACTAAATATTGGAGGAGATGTTTAATCTTGGTGGTTTCCCCTTGGCTGTGATGGGTCTGTTGCTGCGAGTGGGCTTTCTCTAGCTGCTGTGAGTGGGGGCTACTCACTGTGGGGCTGGGGCTCAGGAGTTGTGGTGCATGGGTTTAGTAGCCCTGCGGCATGTCAGATCCTCCCAGACTAGGGATCGAACCTGTGTCTCTTGCATTGGCAGGTGGATTCTTAACCACTGAACTATAAGGGAAGTGCCTTTTTCTCTCTTTTTTTAATTTTGGTGATTTTTTTTTTAAACATAGGTTAAAACAGTGTCTATCCAGTCAGTAACACAGAGAGCGGCAGTACCCGAGGCTGTCGTGGCTGCAGTCCCCCTTGCTGCTGGCCTGGTCTGTTGGGACGGCAGAGCCGGAGGGGCCCACAGCCGGGGCCAGCCGGGGCTATGCTGCAGGAGGCCCCGCCCGTCATCTGCGCGTTTTCTCTAAGCTCTTGCTTGCTGCACCGCATGTTTTGGCTCTGTCTGTTTTAGGCCACAGCGATTTTGGCACTACGTAATTTACGTCAACATTTTCTTTTTTTTTTTAAGCAGGGTTTACTGTTCTTAATATAGTGGAGCTACAGCACTCTTATTTCTTCCAGGTGTACAACACAGTAATCTGATGTTTCTGTACTTTTCAAAGAAAAACCCAAAATAGGTCTAGTAACCATCTGTCACCACACACAGTTAGTAGGATGTTATTGACTGTAGCCCCATGCTGTTATGTTTCGTTCTTGTGACTTACATGCACTTTTAATTTTTGTTTGTTTATGTATTTGTTTAAAATTTACTTATTTACTTGGCTGTGCTGGGTCTTAGTTGTGGAACGTGGGATCTAGCTTCCCAATCAGGGTTGGAATGCGGGTCCCCCCTGCGTTGGGAACACGGAGTCTTAGCTGCTGCACCACCATGGAAGTCCCAACATGCACTTTTTCTTAAAATGTAGTCGACTTGTTGGAGCACATTTGTGAAATTCTTTACAGAATAATTATTTTTCCCAACCTTTGTTTTCATCTCACACAGATGTTCCACAAACAAATTTTCGTCGTCTGCCTTTTGACCACTGCAGGTAAGAGTTGGGAGAGCTTCCCCTCTCTCAAGCGAGTGCTCTGGAGTACTCCCCTGTGTGACAGTGAACCTGATCCCCAGAGATGCTGGGGTGGCTTCTGTCTGCGTCCCCCACTCGCCTCTTCCCTGGGGCCAGAGAAAGGACCCAGCAGTGGAAGGAGCTGGGTGGCTTTCTGACCAGGGCCCTGTCTTTAGCCTGGTGCTCACCTCTCAAGGTGGGTGTTCTCTGTCCTCAGGCCACCCGCACAGCCCAGAGGATCCGTGCTGGGAGGGCTGAGCTCCCTGGCCCAAGTGTCCCATCCAGGAAGTGGTTTGGCTCTGAGCTCTGGGCTGTCTCGCTTTCCTTTTGGTCCTGAGTCTAAGTATCAGCAGCAGCAGCAATATTTGTGCTACATGGGCCCTCTCGCCCCCTTTCACTGTGGGGGTCACTGTCAGGGCAGGGGGGGACACTGCTGCAGAGCCCGTCAAAGGCCTTTTCCCTCGTTGCGCTTGGGGGAGTGGGCAGGTCTGGTGATCCCCTTGGGCCCAAGTTTCCCCAAGTTTGAACTGTGGTCAGCTCTGTCCTGCATACGTGTGTCTGCACAGCATACCGCCCCCTCACACCGTCCCCCCACCAGGTTCTGAGTCAGTACGTCAGGGTGAGCCTTGAGAGCTGGCCAAACTCTCCTGTGACCCTAGCACCACAGTGAGGCTGGTCAACCAGATGGCACGGAGCGGTGAGGGGGCAGGGACAGCCAGGGGGCTCCTGGAGGGCCCCCATGGAGTGAGGGCTTCACCTGTCTCACTTGCTGAGGGAGCAGGTGAGGCTCCGGCGTGGGCGGCCGCGGTTCTGTCCACCGCCAGCAGCCTTGTCATGCGCCTCCTGGGAGTGTGGCCTTGTGAGCGGTTTTATGGAGGTCTTTGGCGCCCAGAGCCTACCCGAGGCTCCGTGTCTTGCCCATTCTGTAACTCCTGGCGTTCTGGGGGAGGACGTGCCCTTGAGGCCCCTTTGGGAGAAGGTGCATGTTCACGTTTTTGCTGTTGGGAGCTCGCCTTGGCGTTGGCTCCTGCTCTGGTCAGCCCCAAGCGGCACCTGGGGCTGGAGGAGAGCGGTGGGCCGCAGAGGGCGGCTCCTAGGGGCGGTGTCCGGGGAGCCGAGGCCGGTGCTGCCGGGCAGTCCAGGTCCCAGGGCCTGACCCCCCCCTCCCCCCACCTGGGAGACAGAGGCACAAACAAGCCGGGGCAGAAGGGCCCTCGAGGGCTCCTGATGGAAACCCCAGGCCCGGCCACCTCCACCCGGGCGCCGCTTCTCCACAGCGAGGGGTGGGCGGGCCCCGACCACAGCCGCCCCGCTGGCGTCTCGGGTTGGGGGAGGGCGGGGCTCAGGGTGACGCTCTCCCGCAGTCTCTCTCTGCAGCCCTTCGCCTATCCGGTGTGCACCCCCGAGGGCGTCGTCTTTGACTTGCTGTGAGTTTTCCCTTGACTTCTAAGCTGACAGATGTGATGAGATGGCTGGCACCCACCTGGGGCAGGGCTGTGGGAGGGTGTGGGCTGCGGGCAGGGCCACGCTGCGGTCCCGTGGCCTCCAGAGCCCTGGGTGGGCTTCTCGGGGCGGGAGGGGCAGCACCGCTCTGACCTCTGCCTGGGGGCCCCAGCGTTCTGATTCGCAGCCCCTAGCTGTTGGAATGTTGGCGAGCTGTGTGGCTTTCATGTCGCGGAGGCAGAGCCGTAGTCACAGTGCCTGCCTTTCTCGTGCTCCGTCTGCGCTCCAGCGGAAGCAGGCTTCTGTCGCTTCCTTCTGGCTCAGTCTCTTTTCAGAAAACATGGAAAGCAGTTCAGAGTGAAGGGAAGATGGGCTATAATCTCAGCGCCTGGGGCCAGCGCTATCAGTCTGGGCCCCTCTTTGCCTGGGAGGTGTTTGTGGGAATCTGGTAGAGGTCACACTGAGAGGGTGGTTCCAGATCCATTATTCATAGTTACAACGAGAGCTTTTTGCCCTTGTCATTCAGAACTTTCTGGAAGTGTGGTTTTTGAGGCTGGCCCAGTACCTCCCTGTAGAGTTGTAGCAACATGTGTGTAGGTCTTCCCATTAGTGTTGTTTATCCACGTTTGTGCACAACTGCAGTAAAAGCAGCCACTGACGCCTGTGTAGCCAGAAACACCCTCGTTCCTGTGATGAGGTGGAGAGTGAGGTGGATAGTGAAGGCAGAGCAGCTCCCCAGCCCCCCGGGCAGGCACCCCCCCATCCCAGCCCCCAGCTCTGGCCCACTGCTCTCTGACACTGACACACTTCGTCTCTTCCTTCAGGAACATCGTTCCTTGGCTTAAGAAGTATGGGACCAACCCCAGCAACGGAGAGGTAGGTGGCTCTGCAGGAGCTTCGGTGAGGTCGGTGAGCGCTCTCGTGTCACACACACACACATGTGCGTGCATGGGGCCCCTTCCTTCCCCACATCTGTCCTTCGTGCAGTGTGCCCCCCACGTGCCTGTGTGGATCATGGTGGCACCTTCCTGTCGTGGCACCACGGGCCTTGGCATCCTCTGCTGTTAGCAACGCTGGCCGGGCTCATGTGCAGTGGCCCCCAGCCTGCCGGCCCTGGGGCTGTGTTTTCGGCCTGGTAGCTCCTGGCATGTTGCCCTGGAGGAGTCGAAGCATTCCAGGATCCTGCTGGTGGGTGTGAAGGGGATTCAGGTCCCAGACCCTTGGAAGCGCTGGGAGTCCCATCCCTTTGGGCGATGCTCCTTACGGGCTCTGTGGAGGCTAGCTCCCCGCTGCTGATGTGCCGTGCATGCCATGCGGTGGAGAACGCGGGATCGGTCCCTCCCGCCGCAGCCCTGCACACCTGTCACAGGCCTGGGCCCGGTTCTGCTCTGCCAGCTGCTCTCCGTTCCCTCATGGGGCGTCTGCAGTTCATGCGCAGGGAGGTGTTAGCGCTGCAGTGTGGGGCTGGCTCTGTAGCGGAGCAGGACCAGAGGCCGGGGCACAGCCCCGGAGGAGGACAGGGACCTGGGGGTACCAGGGAGCAGCGCCAGTGCCGCGGAGACCCGGGGACGGGCAGGGTGGGGCGGGTGGGCCGGGTCACAGCTGCAGCCTCGCGGGCCCGGAGGGGGCCTTGGCCTTGTTCTGGGCGGGAGACCAGGCGGCAGTTGAGCCCAAGTGAGGTGCTGGCCTGCTGCACCGGCCCGGTGGCCCCGGCACCTCTTCACGCGGGTTGCGTGTTTATTTTTGTTAATTCTGCTCCTTCCAGAAGCTGGACGGGAGGTCCCTGATCAGGTTGAACTTCGCAAAGAACAGTGAAGGTGAGTGGCCCTTTCCAGATGGCTCGAGGAGGGCCCGAGGGGCCCGCGGCCCTGCCTCTTACCAAGTTCTTGTTCCCTTCTGAGCAGGCCAGATGCTTGCTTTCAGTTTCTCAAAAAATTGTGGTGTCTTCCTAGAGGCCCAGGTAGTTTAAAGCTGGGAATGGGGATGAGCCCTCACTGCAGGGCACTTGGGCGGTGTGGGCTGAGCTGGGCCCTCGGGGGCACAGGCCCTGCCCGGCCGTGGCTCTGGTCCAGGTGTCACTGGAGACGGAGCTGCTCAGGCTGCAGCCTAGGTGGACAGCTGGGTGTGGCAGCGGGGGCTCTTGGGCTCTTTCTGCTCAGCTCAGCATTGATCGTACGCCCCGGCCCAGTCCTGGGGTCCTGCTCTGCACCCCTGCGTGCCCTCCACTGTTCTTGTTGGTCGGACACCTGTGTGTTGAGGCAACCTCCATGGGCACTGACTTTGTTCTCAGTTCATTGTGGGCCTGGGTGCGTGCAGGTGCCCTGGTGGAGGGCGGGGTCAGAGCTTGCTGGCGGGTGGGTTCCAGGGTAATGCGTGGAGGCCGGCCAGCCCCCAGCAGGTGCAGACGGCAGTGAGGAGCCAGCTGGCCTCGGTGGCCTGGACAGTCTCTGGGTGCCGGGGAGCTCCCCGCTCCAAGAGCGGCTCCTTTGCAAGCGTTCACTGAGTGCCCGCCTGCCGCATGCAGATAGGACGGGCCAGGCCTCTCCTGAGGTGAGAGGGAGGGGGCTTTGGAAATGAGGTCACTGTGCTGGGTCGGACACGGCCTGTCCTGGGGTCAGAGGTGAAGTGGGCCAAGGGAGGGGGCTTGGGGCTGGCTGACAGGGTTCGAGAGGGAGTCTGCGGACAGGTGGGAGTGAGGGGGCCGTGTGGGAGAGCGTTCCAGGCAGAGGTCCTGCTGTGATGGGCCCTGTGGCGCGGGGTCCACTGTTAACGTGCGTGGTGTGAGCATAGTAGGGGCAGGGGCTGTGGTCTGGGGTTAGCTGAGAGGGGAGCGCAGCAGTGTCTCAGGCCCTGGACAGTCACAGGAGGGCTCAGAGATTCGAGCAAGAAAGATCTGACCCAACTTGTTTTTTTTTTAATTATTTGGCTGCGCCATGTCTTAGTTGCAGCATGTGGCATCTAGTTCCCGGACCAGGGATTGAACTTGTATTGGGAGCACGGAATCTTAGCCACTGGACCCCCAGAAAGTCCCCCTCAACTGTGCCTTTTTACATTTTTTACCACCCTTGATCCAGAGAGCGCCCTCTTGGCTTTGCGTCTTAGTTGAGGATTTCAGGGTCGAGAGGGTGGAGTTGGTGTGCCGCCCGTCTCCAGCCCCAGCTTCACTCCGGCTGACGTCCGGGCGTCTGAGTTTATCTGTGCTCCCACCCCGCGGTGTCGTTGCCTTCGTGCAGGTTCACGCTTAAGCGTTTGAGTGTGTCTCTAAAAGCTGAGGACTTAAGAAATGCCACCCTCATCACACCTAGAAAGTTAGTATGAATTCTTTAGTGTTGGATATCCAGCCAGTGGTCCAGTTTCCAGAATGCTCGTGTAATTATCTTTTGCAGTTTTGAGGTCAGGGTTCTTAGAATTCATACAGCTCCAGGTCTCTCATCTTTACCTGTCCCCCTTGCTGCAGTGTCCTTGTGGGGGTTGGCTTGCACGGGCTCCCCGGCTGCCCTGGTGGGTGGGTGGGTGGGGTGCAGCGGGGCAGGGAGGGGCGCAGGAGGTGTGGGCATGGGGCCGGGTCTGAGAGGGACTGCCGTGGGGTGTGTGGGGCTGACAGGTCCAAGGGGCAGCAGGTGGGTGGCGAGACAGGCTGGTCCCGGAGGCGGAGGCTGGGGCTGACGCTGCCGGGGGAGGGGGGGGCGGTCCCGCAGGGGTCGGAGTTCCCGTTCTCAGTGAGGGGCTTGGGCAGGCCCTCTGGGTTTCTGTTCCCTCTCTGACCCCACACCCCCACTCCACCCCCCTTCCCTCTCTCTAACCCGCCCCGCCCTCTCTCTGACCCCGCCCCAACCCCGCCCCGCCCCCTCTCTAATCCTGCCCCGCCCTCTCCCCAGGGAAGTACCACTGCCCGGTGCTCTTCACCGTGTTCACCAACAGCAGCCACATCGTGGCCATCAGGACCACCGGCAACGTCTACGCCCACGAGGTGGGTCACGAACCCTGATGGGGACACCGGCGGGGGGCCTGGGCCCCTGGAGGGTCCGAGCTAAGAGCCACCAATGCACCCAAGGGATGGCGGCCTGCTTGTGGCCTCCAGGCCTGGACCAGGCAGCTCTGCCTGCTGAGTGGGTCCTCGTTCCCGGGCCCCGCAGGACCGCAGAGACCCTGGAGGGAGCCCAGCTCCAGGCCCTGCCCTGGGAGCGTAGGGGTGGGCTTCCTGCGCACACTCTGGTCCCCTCCTTTGCCCTTTCCCCCTCCCGGGTCATCTCTGAGCTGCGGAGTGCAGGGAGGCACCGTGACCGCGGCCTTCCGCCTGGTTGCAGGCGGTGGAGCAGCTGAACATCAAGGCCAAGAACTTCCGAGACCTGCTGACCGACGAGCCCTTCTGCCGACAGGACATCATCACCCTGCAGGTGGGGGTCCCCGCCCTGCTGTGCCCTCCTAGCTCCCTGCCTGCGTGGCCCATCAGAGCCCCTCCCAGCCGTGTGTCACCCTGGGCCTCTGCACAGGCCGCCGCTGCAGTCTGGGGCTTCCAGCTCCCCTCAGGGGCCACCCCCGACTCATCTTTGCGCCTGGAGCGCCTCCCTGTTTCAAGCCTGAGGGCTGGGGCAGGTGCTCAGGACCCGGGGCGGGCTGGAGCATGCCTGGAGGTGTCCCGAGAGCCTGAGTGGGCTCATGAGAGTCACAGCTGCAGAAAATCGGGGGACCTGGGTCCTCCTGTAGCTCCCGTTATGATCTGAGGCCAGTGCACGGCCCTGCCCTGGGGTGTGCTCTCTGGCCCCGACAGACTATGGGGTCCACCTGGCAGCTGACTGCAGGGGACGGCAGGTGGTGGGAGGGTGGAGGTAGGCACCCTGTGTCCTGCGCTGACAGCTGGGGGCACTGGTTGGCTGTGAGCGGGGAGAAGGCATGCAGCTGCGACGCGGGTTTGCGGCCCCAGCCCCGCCCGCCCCTGCTGACCCGTGGCCTCTCCCCAAGCCCGGGCCCTGCCGGCTGCTGCTGCTGCCGCTGCCGCCTGCCCAGCAGCTGCGTGGCCCAGGACGTGCTGGGCTCACTGCCACACGCGTTCTGTGTGCTGTAGGATCCCACCAACTTGGACAAGTTCAACGTCTCCAACTTCTTCCACATTAAGAATAACATGAAGATAGTCGACCCAGGTACATACAGCTCAGCTGCCCAGGGGCGAGGGGCTTGGGGTGGCAGAGCCAGAGCTCCTGGGGGATGCTCCCCGCCCCTCGCCAGAGTCTGGGGGTCCCAGCCTGCCTGCATGGGCCTTGCATGTCGTGAGCTGCCGTGCCACCGTCCTCTGCCGGCTCCTCTGCCGGCTCATCAGGGCCCCGGGGCCTGAGCATATGCAGACCAGGACGCGACTGCAGGCCCCACAGGGCTGCTTCCTCTCCTGGGTCCCTGGGGCCTGGGTCACCCTCTCGGTGCCCCTCACAGATGGTCCGTTTCTCACCGCAGGGCTGGCCTGGGCTGTGTGTGATGGCCGCCGGGGGGCAGGCGGGCCCCGGAGGGTGGGGAGCGTGACGTGGGGCTGTGACCCTGGGTTTGGGCCTGGGTGGTGGCCTCGCCCCTGCTCGCACCACGGGCTCCCCCGGGGCTGTCATGACCCGGAGGCTGTGATGGACAGAGGTGCTGGTTGCCCTGGCCTCGTGGCCGGCTGGGCTGTCAGTGGCTCTGGCCCCCGGTCCCCTCACGGCGTCTGGGGACGGTGCTGGGTCTCGGCTGGGTCTTAGGACCACCGTGCCGTCTTCTAGATGAAGAGAAGGCCAAGCAGGACCCGTCGTACTATTTGAAAAACACGAACACGGAGACGCGGGAGACGCTGCAGGAGCTCTACAAGGAGTTCAAAGGGGACGAGGTGCTGGCGGCCACTATGAGGGTCCCCGAGAAGGCGAAGGTGGACAAGCTGAACGCCGTGAGTAGGGGGCCCGCTCCCCTGCCCTGGCGGCACTCCTGGAGCGTGGTGCTGGGTGGGGGGCTGCCGGCAGCCTCCGTGGTTCCTCGCCACACAGCAGCCTGGGGTGTGGGCAGGCATGGCCCTGCGGAGCTGGCCACCCGGAGCCAGATTGACCCAGGGGTGCTGAGCTGCCGGGGGGAAAGGTGTTCCCAGGGTGCCTGCCTCCCAGCCCTCACCTGCACGTCCCGCCCCCGCCTTGTGCTTGGCCCTGGGCCCCAGTTGGCTGTGAGAGCCCTGCGACTCGTGCCCTGGCCTCTCGGACCCTTAGCTGCCCCCGCCCCGTGCCAGGCAGGGCCTGGGGGCCTGGGGGCCTGGGGCTGGGAGACCCCCTTTAAACGGTTGTCCAGGAAGCCAGGTGTGCTAAAGACGAGGGTGTGTTCGCGATTTCCTGTAACACTGCGGCTCCTAGTATTCTGATGCATTTTCTTCTAATAGGAAGAAACAAGTGCCTGGTGCTCTGAACCCCAGAGGCGCCCACACTCTGTCTCGCGTGCTTTTCCAGGTCTCACTTAACACGAGGCTTGGCAGCCAGGCCTTTAGCACAGTTGAAGCCAAGGGCTGCGTCTCTCCCTGGGCCCTGTGGGAGAGGCTGGCATGGGCTGGGCGTACTGTCCGTCCAGGAGGCCCCCCGGCGCCAAGGGGTGGTGGAGGGTGACGGGCAGGCCCGGGGCAGAGGGGTGGCCCCCGCACTGACCACCGGTATGGTTTCCCCGCAGGCCCACTACTCCACTGGGAGGGTCAGTGCCTCCTTCACGTCCACTGCCATGGTTCCCGAGACCACGCATGAAGCAGGTAGCGCCTGGCCCCACACCCTGTCTGCGGTGGCCAGGCATGGGCATCCCCTCCACCCGCCTTGGCTCTGTGGGCTTGCCGGTGGCTCGCCAGTAGTCAAGTGGTGATGTGCCCTTTCGAAAGTGGGCTTGTGTCTGGGAGGGCAGCGTCTGGAGGCTCGCTGGGGGGCTGCCCTGCCTAGGCCCCACCGCCCTCTGCTGGCCTTGGCTGGTCAGGGCCCACAGTCCCCCAGCCCCTCCTCCCCTCCCCTTGTCGGCCCCCGGTGCCCGCCCGCCCCCTGGGCCCTCGACCCGGGGCAGGCGGGCAGCTCAGGCGTCTCCTCTTAGCGGCCATCGACGAGGACGAGCTGCGCTACCAGTTTGTGAAGAAGAAGGGCTATGTGCGTCTGCACACCAGCCTGGGCGACCTCAACCTGGAGCTGCACTGCGACCTGGTGTGTGGGTGCCCCCCGCAGCTCCACGCAGCCTCGGGTGCTCAGGCTCACTGCACCCACCAGTCCAGGGCCTGGCTGTGGGCCCCGGGAGCCCTTCTCACCGGAGCCCTTGGTTTATTTCAGACCCCAAAAACCTGCGAGAACTTCATCAAGCTCTGCAAGAAGCAGTATTACGATGGCACCATTTTCCACCGGTCCATCCGCAACTTTGTGGTGAGTGCCGACATTGGCTGCCCTGCACCTGTGGGCAGAGTCCTCCCCACGGGGGGTGCTGACCCTTCTGTGGGTGACCCCCTGGGCCCCGGGGGTCTTCTCGGGCCCCAGCCCAGCTGGCCACATCGAGCTTGTGGGGGAGACCCCGTTGTCTCCAGCAGCAGCTGGGGGTGCAGGCAGGCAGGTGGGGGCTCAGAGTGGGGCTCCTCACTGGCGTGCTCTTCCTGCAGATCCAGGGAGGCGACCCGACGGGCACCGGCACAGGTGGGTGCTGGCGCCGGTCCCCCAGGAGCACAGGCCCCCGGGAGCGCTGGCTGCACCATGGGCCGTGCGGGGGGGGCGTGGGGGCCCCCAGAGCCATGGCCTATGGCCTCCAGCTCCCGTTTCCTTATTCTGCACTACGGCGAGGCCTGCTCGGGCCTCCAGGTGCCCACCCCCCCGGGCAGCAGACCTAGGGGCCCAGTGGCGGGGGTTGAGCTCTGCCCCGGGGGCTGCTCCTCCAAGGCCCCCCCAGCCTGCTGTCTGCTTGGGCCGGCCCACCCTCCCTCGTGGAGTTTTCTGAGGCCCTGGGGTTGGGGGTCCATGGGCATCTGGGGGTGGGGGCCCTGGGGTGGCGAGGTTTCTGGGCTGCCCGGATTGCGGTCGTCCTGCTGCCCCGGCCTCTTCTCTTCCAGGTGGGGAGTCGTGCTGGGGGAAGCCCTTCAGAGATGAGTTCCGGCCCAATCTCTCGCACACGGGCCGCGGTGTGCTCAGCATGGCCAACTCAGGGCCCAACACCAACAAGTCTCAGTTGTGAGTTGATGGGGGCAGGCTTCCTGTCGGCTTCGCCCTGAAGGTCATGCCCACCTGCATCTGTCGAGCCGGGGGGCTGCCCCGCAGTTGGGGCGTTCCCTGCTGAAGGCTGACACTGTTAGCAGGAGGCGGGGGGCACGTGGGGTTACTGCAGGAGGCCTGCACCACGGCCTTACCCGCTGCTTCCCCTCTGCAGTCCTTGTGAAGGAGGAGTTTTAAAAACACTGAACTGCTTAGCTATATTCTAGACGCTTTTCCCAGACATCTCAGTCCAGGGGAAGGTGGTGGGTGTGTGCCCGGGGCTGCTCTGGAGCCCGTCCTGCGCGGGGTCCTGGCGTGCCTCTGTGTGTGTCTGGGAGGCTGTGGGGCGCAGCGTGTGTGTGGTCCAGCGTCTGGGAGCCGCCCCTCCGTGGGTGGATGGGGCCTTGCCGCTGCCCGACGGTGAGGGTGCCCGTCGGCCTGGCGTGGCTTGTTGGCCCCTGGCAGACTTAGGCACCAGTGGAGCAGGACGGGCCCTGTCCAGTGATCCGGGTGACTTGTTCCTGGGGCTTTTCTCTATACCTCCCCCAGCGGGGCACCTGGGGAGCGTCCCACAGAAGAGGCACTGCCCACCGACTGCGGGCCGCCCTCCTGCGCCAGCGTCCACGGGGCCTGCAGCGCGTCTCCGGGCGTGGTCCCTGCGATATCTCCTCTCTGCTGGGTTGCTTATTCTCTGACGTGGACATCAGTCCAGTCAGAGCCGTGTGACGTGTTTTAGAGGGTCAGGCAGCGTGAGAGCGTCCATGTGGTGATGTGCCTTGGCTTTCCGAGGGCATCTTCTGCCTTTTTAACGTGACTTCATGGTTCCTGCTCATGGGTGCCCTGCCTTCCTGCAGACGGCTGCTCCTGGAGGGTTTTGTAGTTTGTGATAGATTGGAAGTGGAGCTTTCCTTCCCTCATTCTGGGGTGGTGGTCGCTCATGTAGAGAAAACTACTATGTCCATCTAGGTGGTGGGGAGCGCAGTTGCTGAGTGGCATATATCTGGACCCTTATCTGAGAGAGTCGAGGCTTTGTGGACGCTCATGTTCTCAGCTCGAGGGGTGGGTAGATTTGGGTCCCTCCAGGCTGCGCTGTGCGGGGCCAGGTGAGTGGTGTCGTCACCTGATCCGGCTCTCGGGCCTGCTTTTCCAGGCGAGGTTTCAGAGTTTGCGTGTTCTGGGACGTCTGTCACTGGGGTCGTGTGTTTTCCTCCTGCAGGCTGTGGGTGCAGCCCCGGGGGGTCAGCCTCTCTGCCATGTCCGTGTGTCAGTCTCGGCTGAGACTTGATGGTGCACCATTCCACATGGGAGCTTGGCCTGGGGGGCTGAGGCAGGCTGGTGGGGAGGCGTGGGCTCTCCCTGACCACCCCTTCCTTCCCCAGCTTCATCACTTTCCGCTCCTGCGCTTACTTGGACAAGAAGCACACCATCTTTGGGCGGTGAGGCGCTGGGCAGGGTCTGTGTGTGTGTGTTTGGGGGGGGGGGGGGTCAGGCACCGGGCGGGATCTGTGTGTGTGTGTGGGGGTCAGGGCAGGAAGGCGCCGGGCGGGGTCTGTGTGTGTGCGGAGTGGGGGGAAGGCGCCGGGCGGGATCTGTTTGTGGGGGGGGAGGGGGGGAAGGTGCCGGGTGGGGTCTGTGTGTGTGTGTTTGGGGGGGGGGAGGCACTGGGTGGGATCTGTGTGTGTGTGGGGGAGGTGCCGGGCGGGGTCTGTGTGTGTGTGTGGGGGGGAGGCGCCAGGCGGGGTGTGTGTGTGTGTGTGTGTTTGTGTGTAGGGCCCCCACCCACCCACCCCCCAGTCCGGCCGGGCATGTGCCCCCTTGTCCAGTCTGTGCGCAGGTGGTGGGGGGTGACCCTTGGACCTGAGACCTGCCCCTGGCAGGCCCTCCCTCCGCAGTCCGGAACGAAGCTCAGCGCTGGGCCGCGGCCGGTCTCTGCACCTCTTGTCCAGGGCTCAGCGTTCGCCCTTAGCGCCGAGTCCTCTGCAGACACTGTGTGTGGACGGGGCCTGTTAGTCCGTGCTGACAGCCGGCCGGGCCTGCTCACAGTCTGCTCCGGCCTGCAGGGGTGCCTGCGCCGGGCACGTTCTCAGGCGCCCCGTTGCTCTGCTGCAGGGTTGTTGGGGGCTTTGACACGCTGACGGCCATGGAGAACGTGGAGAGTGACCCCAAAACTGACCGCCCTAAGGTCTGTGCCCCAGAGCAGAGGTCCTCCCCTTGGGCTTGGAGCTGGGTGGGTGCCTGCTCACGCCCACCTCCCCCACCAGGAGGAGATCCGCATTGACTCCACCGTCGTGTTCGTGGACCCCTATGAAGAGGCCGACGCTCAGGTGAGGAGGGGCTGGGGGGACAGCTGTGCCCGCAGCTGGCCTGTTTCTGTCCCAGGAGCCCCGCCTGGGCCAGTGCTCGAGCCCGCCTCCACCCGGCCCCCACAGATCACCGAGGAGCGCAGGAAGACACAGCTGGAGGCGGCGGCCCCCGAGAGCACGGCCAAGAGCAGCCAGCCCCCCCAGGGGAGCCAGGGCCCCCAGGCATACCGCCAGGGTGTGGGCAAGTACATCAGCCCGGCAGTCACGTGAGTTCCCCCGGTGCCCACGCCCCACGTCCCGGGGTCAGAGCCGGTCGGTAGGGGTCAGACGGAGGCTCCGGGACCGCAGTGTCAACTGGGAGACAGTTGGGAGGTCGGGGTCTGTGCGGCCCTGGGACGTGCGGGGGCTCCTCGCTGGGGGCCCGCGTGCACACGGCAGCTCGTGTCTGCTGTGTCCCCAGGAAGCGGGTGGCAGAGGAGGAGCCGTCCAGCAGTGCAGCCGTGCCCGTGGCCAAGAAGAAGCCTAGCCGTGGCTTCGGGGACTTCAGCTCGTGGTAGCAGCCGGCCACTGCGCTGGAGCCGGTAGGGACTCGGGGCTGGGTGCGCAGAGTCGACCGTCCACCCTTCAATAAAGCTCCAGCTGCTGCCCGAGTCCTCTCCTGGCTCCCTCCGTGGGCGGGTGGCCTGGCCCAGCCCTGTCTCCGCATCTCGGACTTCCAGAGAGGAAGGGCTGTCTCTGACCCCCACACCCCCCGCCTGTCACCTCAGGGTGGCCGGTCCACTTGGTGTGGTCCTCCAGCCATTGGTCACCTGGGATCTCAGTCCAGACCTTCTGACTCAGGGGGGCAGAGCCTCGATGTTTTGTCCAGAAACTTTTTCTGCCTCGGGTTCATTGGGCCCACCCAGCCCCAGGTTGTTCCCTCTGCTATCAGGAGGGTGAAGCCCGCGGGCTCCCGCTGTCCTGGCCGGGGCTGAGTGGGGGCCCTTCCCTGGGGACCCGGCCTTGTGCTTGCACTGACCAGTGACCTGCTCTGGGGGTCCTCTCCCCGCTGAGGAGCCGCAGGGCCCGTCCTTCCCATGCCGCCTCCCCGCAGCCCTCCCCCTGGACACGCCCCCTCGGCTTCCAGAAGCACAGGACAGCCGCCTCCCAGGACCACGTCCGCTCATGCTGGGAGGCCCACAGCCTCCCTGCAGTCCTCACCCGCTTTCAGCACTGAGCCCCCAGGTCAGCACGGCTGACCCCCCTGCCAGGCTCTGTGCCCACTTCTGTCCGGGCTCTTCTCACCCAAGGCCTCCCGGGAGCGAGTGCAACTTGCTCTCGCTTCCAGGAGGTCCTGTAGCCCCTCCCCGTCTCTGCTGCTGGGCCTGGCCCCACAGCTCCACACGCACGGAGGTCCCTCCCCCACTCGAGGCCCGCTGGGACTGCTCCGGGGTCTGGGCTCCACAGGGACTGTCCTACCCCACGCCTGCGGTCAGGCCGCCCTCCCTCAGTCTTCAGAACCCGGCACCAGCGCCGCCTCGGCTGGGAACCGCTGAGCGGCTCTGTCCCTGGGAGCCGGGCGTCGTGGGGAGGAGGTGTGCGAGGCGCTTGCCTGAGGCTCCTGGAGTAGGGGTGCCCACCCGCAGCAGCTCTGGAGGCCGCCAGCACGGGCCCCTCACTACCCGGCCAGACCATCGATGCTACTGACCAAGAGGCAGCAAACGTTGGAAGCTTTATTTTGGAAGCTCATGCAGACAGAGCATGGAGGGCCAGACACGGGCAGTCCTGCTTGGGGAGCGTGCCTTTGGGCTGGCCTGGCCGCCTGTCCATCTCTCCAGCAGCCGGGCCCACCTGCCCTGACGGAAGGCCAGCCACCCCGGGCTGCAGACCCACAGCTCCACAGAGGGGATGGGCCTGCCCAGGGCCTCTGGTGAGGGATGGTTTACGTCTCTTAAGTCATTTTGGAGCTGAAATTGTACTTCTCTAGATGTTAAAAAACATTCAGATTGTGTAAGTCCCTGGTGAGGGCATCAGGTAAAGTAAAGGACTTTTGAAACAATTCCCATTTCTGATCCCTCCTAATAGCTGACAGATGCCATCAAGAGTAAGTGTTAAGGTATGAAAATACTATATATATATATATATATATATATATATACTTATAAAACAGCCAGAGCTAAACCCCATTTCTAAAGGAAATGTGCAGGGAACACTACGTAGTGGACTTAAACATCTATAATCCTGGTGTCACCTTCCATTCTTTCCAAGGAAAAAATGTCTTAAATAAATAAAAGTCGTGGGGTGATAGCCGTGTAGGAACTTAAAGGGGAGCGTCCCAGCACTTGACCTGCACGTCTGGCTGTGGCCTCAGGAGCGTCGGTCCTTGAAGTTGCTCACGGTCAGTTCGTTTGGTTTCAAAAGGAGCTCGGGTTTTGCAGAAGACCCACAAGGAAAGTGGCCGAGAGCCTTGGCTGGCATCAGCTTTGAAGCCATCCTGTGCCATGGGGAGGAAGGCTGCCATGCCCCCACAGACAGCCCAGAATACACGCTCCACATGTGAGTGCAGTAGACACGGGAACCGCAGGCAGCTCCTCGGCGTCCAGAAGCATCTGCTGTAGGAGCGCCCAGCCACCGGTTCAGGCTGGCTCTCAGGGATTCGGACTCAGCCCTCAGGGCGGGTGCCCACTGGGCCTTCAAGGGGCTCCAAGCACCAGGCCCCGGGGCTCTGCCGGGAGGCGGCCTGCTGGGCACCCTCGCGGATGACCCAGCACCCTGGGGTGGGGGAGCCTAGGGCTCCCCATGGTCTAGGCTGTGGGTCATAGGGTGCCCACAGGAAGCTCCCCTGAGCCAGGAGCACCAGCCGGGGCTCCAGGCTCAGGGGAGAGCCCCCCAGTCTCCAGTTTGTGGCCATGAGATGGTGGGGCCGGGATCCTGGGCGTCTCAGGCCGGGCTCACTGGCCAGAGGGCCTTTGGCCTCCACTCTCTGCAGACTGGCCAGAAGCCACACACAGCCCAGCCCTGCAAAGGCCCAGCGCCTGGGCACTCGAGCAGAACAGGGCGGGCTGGGGCCCCCGAGCAACCAGAGCTTACACCTGTCTTGCAACTGGAACTTTCTGTGGAAAACGTGAAAACAGTGGCAGATCTTAATTTGGAAGTTTATCCTGTTCTGGCCTCTTTCAAATATAGGAAAAATAATTTTTTCTGCAAGTACATCAGAGTAGAAAAGGAAGTCCACTTTCCTTCAGCCCAGTGTGATCAGCTTGAACTCTGCAGGCCAGCCACTCAGGGCCTGTGCATGGGCCCGGGGTCGTGTCTGCTGACCACTCGCTCACTCGCCTTCTAGATAAGGAAGCTACTGGCTTAAACAAACAGGGTGTTCCATCAGACACGTTTCTCTATTTCTAGCTCATCTAAAGTGTTATCCAGCGGCGCCCTTTGCTTTTGAACAAGGCTAAAAAGCACCCTGGGTGCAAAGACGCACGGCCGTCAGGGAGGTTCCTGGCAGAGCACTGCCCTGGGCGGCCTGCACGCAGAACCACCACGCGGCGGGTCCGAGAGTCAGTCGAAGTGGTCCCCTTCCTTCAGACACGAGCAGGGCTGGCTCTCCAGAGAGGCCACCTTGGGGTCCATGGGGACTCAGTCTGGTTCCATCAAAACAGAACACAGCCAAACTACCTCAAAAGCACTGGTTACGAGATGTATGGACTAGATGGACAAGTCATCAGTCGGTTAAGTCTTTCTCTGGATCTTGAGAAATTAGAAACAGGTCATTGGAACATTTCAGAAACAACCATGTGCGTGAAGAGGACACAGCTTGCGGGGGCTGCCTCACCCAGGGGGCTGGCCGGGGGGGTCACCCGCCCTCGGACGCTCCTCAGCTCCTTGGCGTTGACCGTCTCAGCCACGTTCCGGGGGGACGGGGAGTCCACGTTACTCCCAGCCATTGTCTTTGATCATGTGAGCGAGCTCGATGATAAATTTTCCTTCTTTATACTTCTGACTGCTTTCAAAGGCGTGCTCCTTGAAGAGACAGAGAGAAGTTTCAGAATAGAATCCATTTGGTTTTTCAACTTCTTTCTACACACGGCGAAGGAAGGAAGGATAGGGTCGTGTCTCCCGGACGTGGCCTGTGTGGTGCTGTCTAGGGCCAAGGAGGGGCCGCTGTGCTGGGGACCGGGCGTCGGGGGTGTGTGCTGATTAGGGACCGGCGGGGCGGTTCAGAAGGGATGGTCAGCACAAACCTCGTTCCTGGGACTCGGGGTCACAAGTGGTGGAGAGAAGCCGGGGTGGGGTGGGGCGCGCTGGTGCAGGGAGCCTGTCTTCCTCACACCCCCCTGCCCCCCACGATGGGCCCAGGTGGGTCCTGGGGTGGGGGCCAAGCACGCCAGGTGGGTCAGCTGTGAGCATGACCACAGGGTCACGTCCACAGGCCTCTGCCTGCGCCCGGCCAGTGGTCATCTGTGCGGTGGGCGCAGCCTCCCCGCCCCCCAGCCCGTGGACCCTCCTTGACGGTCGGCACCCATCCTGTTTTCGGCCTGCTGTCTCCATGGTGACTCACGTATTTCCACCCAAGCGTGGTCTTGCAGTTCTCGCAGTAGATGTCGGCCACAGCATGCAGGCCGGTGAGCAGGACGCGCTCCTCCGCGGGGCCGCAGCCCACGTTCACCCTGCGGGGGGCAGGAGCTGGCACCCTCGCAGGGCCAGGCCCGCTTTTCCACCCGCCGGCTGCTCCTGGGACCCAGGGGTGCCTCCCTGACTCCCCAGCTGTCCCCTGCCCCTCGGAAGAGAAGGCACAATTTCTGGCTTCCCCCCTGAGAACCCAGGACGCCGCAGGTGGTGAGGAGGCACCCAGAGTTTGCTGTCTCCAGGGAAATGAAGATAGACCCCAATCGGGGGCACCCCCCGGCCTCCAAGAAGAGCCGACGCTGCCCCAGCCCTGGGCGGCCCCAGCGGCACAGTACTCACACTGAGTTGAAGAGGTAGGCTCGTCCCTGACTTCCCTGAAAGGACTGCAGAGAAGGAAGAGGTGTGAGAGGGCCGGTCGCCGTCAGAGCTGAGTGATGGGAGCCCTGCCCTGGGGGAGAGCGGAGGGGCCGCCGGGCAGAGCGCCCATGAGCCTGTGCCTAGGACAGCCCATGCCAGCCTCCAGTAGATGGGGCGGGGGGTGGGGGCACGGGGCGGTTTCCATGCCTTTCCATGGGAACTACAAGAAAGCCACAGCCCCTTTCTGGGAGGAAAGCTTGGAGCACGGTCACTCGTTCCAGGACGACCAAGGAGGCAGAACCACCGGCCAGTCCCAGCTGCACTGCCATGGGAGCTGGAGGGGACACTAGATGGGGACTCATCACCCAGGTACAAGGCTCAAGGGACCCAGTGGGCGGACAGACCTCAAAAATAACCAGGAATGCAAACGGGTCAGAACCTTCTGGTTCTTGCCCATCACCCAGGAATGAGCTCCTGGCCCTGGAAGCCAAGCGGCTTGCAGCCCAGGCCTCAGTTTGCAAAGGTGGAGGGTGTGTGTGCAAACCCAGCAGCCAACACCTGGACCTGCCACGGGGCAGAGTCACAGCCAAGACCACGACTCAGCCGCACTCACACGACTTCCCACAGCGCCGCCCATGGGGCTGCAGGCAGTCAAGGCCGGCCCGCCTGGGAGGCTCCATGCTCCTCTCCTCTGTGGCCCCTGGTTTCTCGAGCAGACACTTGCCTTGGAGATCAGCTCGTCGTGGTTGGCCAGGTGGGCCCTGCAGTGGACACAGCTGTAGGTTCGGTGGCAGTTTGGCAGATATGCTTGGAAAGTTTTGGACTTGGTCATCTTCACCATCGCGGGGCACTCCTGGCTCAGCTCAGGGCTGGCGTGGGAGGAGCTGCAGCTCTGCTGGGCTCTCCAACAGAACAAACACTGGAAGATGCACGCCAGAGCCGTTGTTGTTCGGAGGGCGTGTGGCTCCGTCCACACCGCTGGGGTGAGAGAAACGCCACCACCTGTCAACACACAGCAGAGGGTCACAGAGAGCCGCAACAGGACGCGCCTGGTTCAGGACGCCTGCCGTAGAGATGGGGACAGTGCAGTTCGAGACGCTAGAGATCTGCTTCTTTCCTAGTAATTGTACATAAGAAGGCTAGTTCCCGACCACGGCTCGGCCACTCTCCACTTAGTTGGGAGTGGCCGGTGAACTACTTTCACACATAAATAATTTGAGAAAACAGTAGCTCAAATACGTCTTCTGTCCTCTGGCTTCAGGACACGTGGAAGAGACAGCAGCCGACAAAGTTCCCATCTGAGAGACGCCAGGAGCGCTGGGCCCATCCTGCCCCGAGTAATGGAACTGTGGCTCCAAGCACCACGATGCCTATGCATGTGTGGTGGGTCCTGTACTGGTCTCTAGGAAATTACCTATTGATCCAGAAACACACCCTCACACGCACAGTCACGTGATTTTTAACAAGGGGGCCAAGACTGTTCCACGTGGAAAGGACAGAGCCTTTCCAACAGATGTGCCAGGAAGACAAGAGAGCGGCCTGTGAAAAGGACGCCGCCACATACAGCAGTGCGCTCGGGGGGCCAGGCCCAGACGTAAACTAGAACTGGGCAACTCTTAGAAGAGAACATGGGGAACGGTCTGCGTGCCGCTGCACTTGGCAGTGACACTGGATCTGACACCAAAAGCGCAGGCGTGTCTGAGGACCCCGGAAGGAGACGCGAGAGCAGATGTGGAGCTGCCAGAACTCAAGGACACAGTGCAGACTGATCTCCAACAGACCCGAGGAGGTAAGTGAAAAGAAGGCCACACCATATCGCGTGATAGTGAGGCTGCACAACACTGAACAAACGCGGGGATGTCTGAGACGCCGCCAGAAGGGAAGGGGAGGTCACCTTCCAACAGAGCAACTTCCGAGTCCATCAGCAGAAGGTGGAGGCGGTGGGGAGGCACCCCTAAGGCCCGGAAGGGTGACCTTGTTCTCCCGGGACTCAGCAGTGGCAGTGTTGCCCCGGACCTCGGGACCTGACGTTTGCAGATGAGCAGCTTGACTTCAGCAAAGTGTCACTGGAGGAGATTCAAGGATGTGCTTCAGACAGAAATGAAAGAACCAAGGAAAGCCCACTCAGGTCCCAACTCCAGACTCCCCACGAAGGCAGGGTGCTGAGTGAAGAGGCTACGTGTGCAGGAGGGCAGAGAGCACCGCCTCCCGGAGTGCTGAGATTTGCTCGCGACAGGTGAGCAAGAGAACAAGGCGGAGGCATGGTCGGAGCGGTGTCCAAAAGGCAGCTACGTGTGTGGATTAAAGGTACATTCTGGTAAATGAAGGATAAGTGTAATTTCTGATGAAACATCTGTACGAACAAGAAGAGCAGGTGTGTCACTTCCAAACGTGTGCAGGGAGGTGAGGAAGGAGGAACGTGCTGGGGAAGAGCAAGAAGCCTAACCAAGCGAGATGGAGACCCAGACATTTCAGTGCGCAGGTGGGACGCAAGGGGACTCGTGCTGAGTCGAGGGTTTCAGACTAGACAGAAAACAAACTTTATCTCGATGCTGCTTACAAGACACACACCTTTAATTAAGGCACAGAAAGAACAAGAGAAAGCTGGAACCTGGACGGTAGCAACACAGACCTGTGGTCACAATTACTTGCCGATGTACGTGATTCACGGAAAGACGTCACAGTAGAGAAATGCAAATCGGAACCACAGCGACAGCACCTCACAGCTGTCGGAATGGCCACCATCAAAGAGACCACAAATAACAAAGGCTGGAGACAGGGTGGGGAGGAGGGAGCCCGACTGTTGCTGGGGATGCGGACTGGTGCAGCCACTGTGGAGAACAGTGTGGAGGTTTCCTAAAACATACTAAAAATACGGTTACCATATAACCTGGCAATCCCACTGCTGGGCGTGTATCCGGAGAAAACTAATTCAAAAGGATACATGCAGCCCAGCGTTCACATCAGCACTGTTAACAACAGCCAAGGATGGAAGCAGCTGAGTGTCCTCTGACAGGGAGTGGGTGACCATGATGCGGGGGGGTGTCTGTGTGTATATATACACACGTACATACATATATATACGCACACGTCTTTCATGATAATGCCATTGGCAGCAGCGTGAACTGACCTAGAGACTGTCACATTAAGCAAAGTTAGAAAGACAAATGTAAGATACCACTTATAGGTGGAATCTAAAAATTGATACAAGTGAACTAATTTATAAAACAGAAACCAGCTCAGAAAACAGACTTATGGTTCCCAAAGGGGAGAGGTAGGCAAGGGAGGGATACATTAGGAGTTTGGGGTTAACACACACACACACACACACACACACACACACACGACTGCATATAAAACAGTCAACAAGGACCTACGCTGTGTAGCCCAGGGAGCTCCAGTAGATACTCTCTAATAAGCTACCTGGGAGAAGAATCTGAGACACTGCATATCACTGCGTACACCTGAAACTGACACTGTCAACCAAATACATTTTAGTCAAAATTAACAAGAAAGTTAAAGTAGTAAATGGATAGAAAGAGGTATTAAAATAATAGAAAACTATTAAATATGTTCATATTTCCCTTAACAACATTTAATGGAAAAACTTCATTAGATGAAATAGCAGGGAGATAAGTAGCAAGTGTAAATCTTGTTACTTCGTAACAGTCTCAAAATGTGTAAGCCAAAAATTGGAAAAACTTTGCGATAAATTTATAATCAAAATAGGACTAGTGATTGTAGTATATAAACACAGTGTACATAATGGTTTATATATTTTAGTATACTACATATAATTACATAGTATATAAGCATACAATATATATTCTACTGCAGTTTCCACTAACTGATAGAGCAATACAAGAGGGCAGATATACTTCATTTTGATGAAGACACTGGAACTAAAACACATGTAGCAAACCGTCTGAGGACCAGAGACCCCAGCTCATTTACTGCACACACACACTCAGAGAATGTGACTAACAGTGCATCTCAACACATCGAGGGCTGAACTCAGCATGTTCTCAGACCACAACACAAACTAGAAGTCAGTAATGAAATGTAGAAAAGTTCTCATGTGCTTAGAATTTAGGAAATATGCTTCTATATACCCATGTGTCTAAGAATAATGGAAATTAGAAAATATTTTGAACAATAAAATGGGCTTCCCTGATAGCTTAGTTGGTAAAGAATCCACCTGCAATGCAGTGTTCTTGGGCTTCCCTTGTGGCTCAGCTGGGGAAGAATCCACCTGCAATGTGGGAGACCTGGGTCTGACCCCTGGGTTGGAAAGATCCTCTGGAGAATGGAAAGGCTACCCACTCCAGTGTTCTGGCCTGGAGAATTCCCTGGACCGTATGTATAGTCCACGGGGTCGCAGAGTCGGACATGACTGAGTGACTCTCACTTTCAAACAAAAATAATTATCAGAACTTAAAGGGGACGCAGACTCTTACAGGATGGATGTTAGAAGACAGGTGGGATCAATGAGCTACACACCCATCTTTAAAATCGTTGAGAAGTGACAGGAAAACAACCCCAAGAAAACATAAGAAAGGAAAGAAATAGGGAAGAAAACTAAGGAAAGAGAAAAGGGAACACGGATCCCCTGCGGAGGATCAACAAGGCGGAGGCGCTGCTGTCAGCTCAGCCGGCTGCCAGAGACGCACACGGGCGGCATCTTCTGTGGGCAAGACTCACGGGGAACAGGTGCTGCGGTCGGTTTAAGTCAACATAGTTGAAGACGTGAACCACACAGAATAATTCCTGGAAAAAAGTTTAAAAATATGACTCATGAAGAAATAGAAAAGCTGAATAATCCTGTCAACACAAAAGAAATCAAGTCACAGGTAAAAATTCTCCTCCTCCAATACACACACTGATAGCAAAGAACTTCCCTGGAGAAGCTGACTGCACCTCCAGAGGGGAGTTGTTCCAACCTGGTGAGACTGCTTTCAGGGAAGAGAAAGAGGAAGCACCTTCCCGCCGTTTCATGTGACTTAACCTGACCCCAAACCCCTGCCTGAGGGGTCAGCACTTTCACTGCCGGGGCTCAGGTTCAATCCGTGGTTGGGGAACAGACTCCGCAAGTCCTGCGGCACAGCCAAAGAAGAAAAACAAGAATGGAATTCACTAAGTTTCTTCAAAGAAACCAAGATGCAAACATCCTGTGTAATACTGACCAAAGGGGGTCCAGCCCTATGTCACTGCACTCTACAATTAGGGTGACTTTATCACAAGAGTGCAAGATGATTTAACATTAGAAAAATTTACCACTAGTTGTTCTATTTATCTCAATGGATGCCAAAAAAAAACAAAAAAAGTTTGGAAAAATTTCATATCCATTCACAATTTAAAAAACATTCCGTACAAACTAAGATTGTAAAGAGAACTGTTTCGAGGCATGTGCCAAAGAAAGAGCCAGAACCACTCTTGGTAAACATCACTCAGTGTTACAAGTTGAAGGTATGGGGACTAAGCCCGGAGCCTCGACACCGTCGCTCAGCGCTCCCAGGAGCCCCAGCCAGCTCCCCAAGGCCAGAGGAGAAGCCTCGAGAGTGACAAGACGCTGGCACACAGCAGTGTCACAACAAAGGGCCGTGAGCAGATTCAAGACCCCAACCCTCGCACACAGCTCTGAGGGGCAAAACACAGCCCTACGTCCCAAGGAAGGCTGAGCGCCGGAGAAGTGATGCTTCTGAACCGTGCTGCTGGAGAAGGCTCCGAGGCTCCCTTGGACTGCGAGGAGACCCAACCCGTCCATTCTGAAGGAGATCAGTCCTGGGTGTTCATTGGAGGGACTGATGCTGAAGCTGAAACTCCAGTACTTTGGTCACCTAATGCGAAGAGCTGACTCATTGGAAAAGACCCTGATGCTGGGAGAGATTGGGGCAGGAGGAGAAGGGGACGACAGAGGATGAGATGGTTGGATGGCATCACCGACTCAATGGACATGGGTTTGAGCAAGCTCTGGGAGTTGGTGATGGACGGGGGGCCTGGTGTGCTGCAGGTCATGGGGTCGCAAAGAGTCGGACATGACTGAGCGACTGAACATCCATGGGGAGCTACAACATGGGCAGGACTGGAGATACTGTGAATATGCATCTTCCTCAAAGTCACTGTTGAATACAGTTCAAGTCACAATATATGAAGCACCACACACAGTATAGGAAGTGTGTGTCCCCACCTGCAAGTGCAGATGAGCCGGGAGCCAGCGGGGCAGACCGGGTCCGAGTGTCTGCGGGGGCGGGGGGCTCTCCTGGCCCTCTCGGGGCCCCTGGCCGGGCCTGAAAAGGAGGCAGTAACTGGGCCGGGAAGCATTTATGCCTCTTGGACCAGGACTCGGTCGGTGTGAGGACCAACGGGGCTGGAAGGGTTTGGGCGGGGTGGCCCAGGAGGAGGAGGACCCCCACCGCCCTGACCAGGCCCGGGCTCGCCACGCCTCCTGCTCCCTCAGGCTCTCCCAGCTCACAGTGCCTGGGGAGCCGCAAGCCACACTGGGCGGTGTGTCCTTGGGTGGGGGGCCGGCTGGGGGGGGCACCCCAGCCTCAAGCAGGGAGTTTCCCAGGCCCCAAACCCACCTCCGTGTCTTAACCCGAGTCTTCTCTGTATTTAAAGAGCCTTAAATGTGGGGCCTTCTCTTTTAGCCCTGGTAGCTCAACTTCAGAGCCCTGGGCCCCTTTCGAGGCAGAAGCACGACTCCCGATGATCTGGGCAGAGACCGCCAGATGGCCTTCACCAAGCCCCACCTTTAAACAGGCGACTGCGAGGCGGCCCACTCGTCTTCTGCCTGGAGAATCCCAAGGACAGAGGGGCCTGGTGGGCTGCAGTTCATGGGGTCGCACAGAGTCAGACACGACTGAGCGGCTTTCACTTTTCACTCTTAGAACGGGGACACCCCTCATTTCTAACTGAGTGACCTCTAACGGGACAGGGCCGTTTAAATGGCATCTTGGGGATTTCCCTGGTGTCCCAGGGGTTAGGACTCGGCACCTCCACTGCAGGCGCGAGGGTTTCATCCCTGGAGGGGGAGCGAAGACCCTGCACGCCGTACAGCCAAGAAAACAGTGACAGCTTGCCAAGGCTTTTCTGTTTCTTTGAGTTTCTCCGGGTGCAGATGGCCTCCCACACACTGCCAGGCCCCTGGAGGCCCCTTCCCCCGGAGTGCCGGGCCCTGTCCATCCTCGGTGCCCACGGTCACCCTTCAAAGGCTGGTGTGCCTCCGGCCCGCACATTCTGCCATCGGTCCTGCCCTCCCCCCTCACTGCCCCCAGGGGGGGCCCAGCGGAGCAGAGGCCTGGCCTGGACCTTGCTCACAGAGAAGTGTGTTGTGATTTTGGGCTGGACGTCCCCGGGGCCGAGTTCTCCAGCCACCAGTACAGTGTGCTCTTCCAGGAGAACTGCTGACAGGTCAGGACCCATCTTAGCAAAGGGCAAACGCACCTCCGGCCTCACTGCTGTGGCCGCCGTGTCCCTGGGTTTGGGGAGCAGCCATCATCCCCCCAAGATGCTAGTGTGGGGTAGGTTTTTAGAGCAAAAACAACATTCTGGATTCCAGAAGTTTTCCTCCTAAAAAAGCATGGATATTTATTTTGAGAACATGAATCAGGCCCATGTCCATATGGTGCTTCACCATTCCAAAGACAAACCTGAGCAGCAGAACCCGAATCGAGCAGCTGACTCCCGGGAGGGCGTGGGCTCCGGCCCCTCTGGCCTGCCACCGGTTCCTGAGTCCTCCCGGAGTCCTGCCGGCCCCGCCCTGCCCGCCTGCCTGCTGAGCAGTGCTGGCGCAGAGCCTTTCTTTTCTAAGAGCCTCTGATACACTGTTTTAATTTCTCCCCCTAGTAACTAAGTGTCCTCGGGTGCCTCCTAGCAGAGGTCGCCCACTTCCTGCTCAGAAGGGAAGACATAGGCAGGGCTGGCCTGGCTTCAGCTCCAAGAGGCAGGAAGGACGCTGGGACCCTTACCAATTTAGGAACCTCATGCTCAGTAAAATATCAAGCATCTCTTTTGTAGAGGAAGGGATAGGAAAAACCAGAGACACAGAGAGGAGTCTGAACAGGGCTGGTGCTCAGCAGAGGGTGTGCAGCTGAGGGGCGGGGCGGGGCGGGGACTCAGTCGGACCAAGACTGAGCCAAGCCAGAGGAGGGGCGGCTGGGGGGGCCTCAAGCCAAACTGGTGCCCGACCTGTAAAATGGGCCCAGGCGCCCCGGGAATCGCTCCAGGAGTCCGGTAGCCTGCGCGGTGGCCACGGGCTGTGTCCACGCATAACAGCGCTCATAGGGACCCCTGGGCCTGAGCCCTCCTGGGAGCGGACGTGGCCTGACTCCATGGCCAGCGACGGGCCTTCAGCAGCCAGCAGCCAGCTGGACCAAATCCTCCCCACTGTGCTCCCTGGAGCCTCAGCCTCCAGGGACCTGGCGTCCAGAGCTTCCTCCGTCCTCCCCTCTCTTCCCACTCCTGCAGGTTTTGCTGATCAGCAATCTAACCACTTTCTAAAAAGTTAAAACCAAACAACTCTGGAGTAAAATGTCAGAGATGAGGAGGAGGACTTACGCTGATTCTTCATGTTTGAAATTACGTTCCACTCATCAGTTTTCCGGGAGGAAAGACACTCTGTGGCAGGTCCTTGTCTGTACCCACCTCACCCCACCCCCAAGGATCCTAGTGGGCCCTGACCAAGGCAGGAAGGGATCAAAGGCTCTCTACATAAAGAGCTTTATAAAGGTAGGTACTTTTATCAGTGTTTAGTTTTGGCAGTCTCACCATGGCCACGCTGGGTGATAGCATGGGCACAGCGGGTAGGGCGCAGGTTGGGACGATTGGACTACCTTTGCAACTCTTGTGTAAACATAAAGTTGTTCCAAAATAAGAAGCTGATTTCAACTCAGGAAGACTCAAACAGATGGGTAATCAAGATTACTCTGTGCCCAGGCACTACGTTGTTACAGCCCTGCTAAGAGGGGGCTGCTCCTGGGCCTGGCTAAGGCTCCCAGCACGGAGAAGACACCTGGCCCCTAAGATACAAGCGGGAGGCCCGAGCTGGCCTGCGTCAGACCAGAGGCCCGGGCAGGGTCGCAACGCTCAACGCCGGGAATGGGCCAGCTACTGCCCGGGGCGGGGCTCGGCCGGCGTGTCCACCTCCGGGGAGCAGAGAGAGGCCGCAGGGACCCGAAGAGCGGAGGAGCCGCTTCTGAGAGCCATCCCCGGAGGGGGAAAGAACATTCTCGGCGCAGAACAACAGGTTGAGGTGTGTGTGCGCTTCCACAGAAAGAAGGCACGCAGCGGCTCAGAAAAAGCCGGGGGTGGGGATGCCGCGGTCCACCTACCACGGAACCGGGCCCAGTCCCACCCAGAACGGGCCAGACCGGGACTCGGCGCCGCCCGGGGGTCGGGGCTTGGGCAGTGCGCCCCAAAGCCCGGCGGGCGCCGCACGGGCGCGATTCATTTCGGCCTCGCCCTGCACGAGAGCCCTTCGGTGCAAACGCGGGGGCCTCTTTTGTCCCCACCGCCCCCCGTCTCAGCCGCGACCCTGTCTCGGGGGAGAAGCCTGTTACCCCACGGGCGGGCGGCTGCGCCCGCACCTTCTCCGCGGCGGGGCGGGGTCGGAGGCGGCGCGCCCGCACCAACTCCCTGGCCGCGCCGAGCCCGGCGGCCCCCGCCCGCGGCCGACGCCGCTCGTCCCCCAGGGCCCGCCCTACTCACGGCCGCCCACCGCTCCGCGCCCCGGCCCGCAGCGCCCATCGGCCCGGCCTCGCTCAGCGCGGGCGCGGTTCTCCGGCGGCCCCGGCGCGGCCCGGGACGCGCTGCGGCCGTTGGCGCCCCGGCCCCGCGCGAGGCATCCCCGCCGCCGCCCGCGGGCCGCCTGCCCTTTGTTTTGGAGCCGCGGCTCCGCCGCGCCGCCGTTAACGGCCTCGGAGAGCGGCACCCTCCAATCAGCGCGCGCCCCCGCCCCGGGCCCGCCCCGCGCCTGGCCCGGAGCACCGCCCGCTGCCCGTCGGCCGGGCAGGGCGGGGCGCACGTGCTGCGGCGCGCGCCGCACGCCCATTGGCCGGCCCAGCCAGCGCGGCCTCGGAGCCAGCCAGTGAGGGCCTCGGAGCGCGGGGGCGGGCCCGTCGAGGGCGGGGCGGGGCCGGCTCCAGGAGGAGCGCGGCGCGCAGGCGCGGGTTCACCGGGACTGGAAGCTGGGCCCGCAGGCGTCTCCGGCGGTAGGAGCCAGGCGCTGGGCGCCTTGCGTCCTCCCTTTCTCCCCGGGATGCACGCGCAGGTTGGCCCAGGGCACGCCGGCTCATAGCGCCGGGGGCCGGCGGAGGGGGCGCGAGCCGGGAGACCTGGTCGGACCCACTCGGAGACCTCGTCCCCCGGTGGGTCCTCAGCGTCGCCTCCCTGCCCCACTCCAGGCATCCCGGGAACTGCTGACTTGAGCGCCTCGATGTAGACATTACCCTACGGGAAGTCCCGCACAGCCCGCCGCCGACCCGCGGCCGCATTCCGTCCTCCAGGCTTCCCCAGAGGTTACTGTGTGGATCCCAGGGCCCTTCTCCCTAGACTGGTGTTGAAATCCCATCAGCACCACCCGCATGGTTGAGGTCACAGCATAAAATCCCTTTCTATACAAAGTATTGTGAAATCAACTGGGCCTTAGGAAGCACCACTATGAACAAAGCTAGAGGAATGATGGAATTCCAGTTGAGCTATTTCAAATCCTAAAAGATGGTGCTGTGAAAGTGTTGCACTCAATATGCTAGCAGATTTGGAAAACTCAGCAGTGGCCACAGGACTGGAAAAGGTCAGTTTTCATTCCAATTCCAAAGAAAGGCAATGCCAAAGAATGTTCAAACTGCCACACAATTGCACTCATCTTACATGCTAGTAAAGTAATGCTCAAAATTCTCCAAGCCAGGCTTCAGCAATATGTGAACCGTGAACTTCCAGATGTTCAAGCTGGATTTAGAAGAGGCAGAGGAGCCAGAGATCAAATTGCCAACATCCACTGGATCATCAAAAAATTAAAGAGAGTTCCAGAAAAACATCTACTTCTGCTTTATTGACTATACCAAAGCCTTTGACTGTGTGGATCACAACTGGAAAATTCTTACAGAGATGGGAATTACCAGACCATCTGACCTGCCTCCTGAGAAACCTGTATGCAGGTCAAGAAGCAACAGTTAGAACCAGACATGGAACAACAGACTGGTTCCAAATCGGGAAAGGGGTAAGTCAAGGCTGTATATTGTCACCCTGCCTTTTTAACTTATATGCAGAGTACATCATGTGAAATGCCAGGCTGGATGAAGCACAAGCTGGAATCAGGATTGCTGGGAGAAATATCAATAACCTCAGATATACAGATGACACCATCCTTATGGCAGAAAGTGAAGAGGAACTAAAAAGCCTCTTGATGCAGGTGAAAAAGGAGAGTGAAAAAGCTGACTTAAAACTCAACATTAAAAAAACAAAGATCGTGGCATCTGGTCCCATCATTTCATGGCAAATAGATGGGGAAACAATGGAAACTGACAGACTATTTTCTTGGGCTCCGAAATGGCTACAGATGATAGCTGCAGTCATGAAATTAAAAGACGCTTGCTTTTTGGAAGAAAAACTATGACAAACCTAAACAGCATATTAAAAAGCACAGATATTACTTTGCCGACAAAGATCCGTATAGTCAAAGCTCTGGTCTTTCCAGTAGTCATGTATGGATGTGAGAGTTGGACCTTAAAGAGGGCTAAGTGCCGAAGAATTGATGCTTTCAAGTTGTGCTGGAGAAGACTCTTGAGAGCCCCTTGGACAGCAAAGAGATCAAACCAGTCAATCGTAAAGGAAATCCACCCTGAATATTCATTGGAAGGACTGATGCTAAAGCTGAAGCTCCAATACTTTGTGAAGAGCCTGATCAAAGGAATCTTGAAAATTCACAAGAAACCCCTTTGGAAATGGAAGGAGACCTGAAAAGCTTACTAGCTCATGAAAAGATGCGAGAACCATCTTCAGGACACTTTGCACTGGGGTCTGTCGAAGCAGGGAGCAGGGCTTCCTGATGGGAAGAGCTGACTCCTTGGAAAAGACCCTGATGCTGGGAAAGATTGACGGTGGGAGGAGAAGGGGACGACAGAGGATGAGATGATTGGATGCATCACAGCTCGATGGACATGAGCTTGAGTAGACTCCAGGAGAGAGAGGACAGGGAGGCCTGGTGTGCTGCAGTCCATAGGGTCGCAAAGAGCTGGACGCCGAGTGACTGAACAGCCGCATAGCATGCCTGGCGGGAGCTGGTGGCACCCCTGGTTTGTTCCCTTGCCGAGATGTATCCACAAGGCTCCCACCGGTGGTGGAGCACATTCACCCGGCCCCGTGCCCTGTCCCTGCCTCCACAGACCCCAGTGCAAAGTGTCCTGAAAACGGTTCTCACGTCTTTTCATGAGCTAGTAGATGTTTCAGGTCTCCTTCCAATGGAAGGAGTTTCTTGTGAATTTTCAAGGTTCTGTGTCTGAAATATTAGGCTATGGGCGTTTTCACTATTGCCAGTCCTCTTCTCAGCCAGTCCTCTGTTGAAAAAAAGAAAAACCCTATTTTGATGTGAGCCAAAGTTAATATAATTTTGTATCCTTTTTCTTTTAGGTCACTGCAGTTGTTTGCTTGTTTTTTCCCATTGCATTTTTTTAATAGATATTTTACTGGCTCCTCGATATTAAACTTAACAAATATCCAACTATGAGGGGTGGTTGGGTCCCTTCATTAGTTCTGCACCATTTCTTCAGACCTTTTCATTCCTTGAAAAATTTAGCACCAGATCCACTGTTTGTCTCTGCATTTTACTTCCTGGCTTCCTCCTTGAGACATGCCTTTCCTTAGAATCGAAGTGAGAGCTGCGTGTGCGTGACTCACGGCCACCCACGGCGCCCTGGCATGTCAGCTCGCTGGCCCTTCTGCTGCAAGGGCCGCATCCTCTGTGCAGCCGGGGACACCAACCCCCTTGCTGGCCACCGACCCAGCGCCTTTCACATGTTTTTACCTAGGGCCACACTACAATCTACACTTTATGGGTACGGAGTTTCTGCTGGGGATGAAAAACCGAGGGGATAGTTGCACAAGACTGTGAATGCACTTAACACCGCAGAATTACAACACTTGAGGATGGTTAAAATGGCAAATGTTACGTTACTGTACTTTACTACAGTAAAAAAAAAAAAAATTGTACAAAACACATTCTACACCGTGGTCCAGCACCCACACGCCCAGGATGACTCTCAGGATGCAATCTGCACTCTTGTGCAAGGCCCTGATATTTTCCATCCTTATTTTTCTTAACCACACTGCCCACATGACTGCGTGGTTTCCCGAGCCTGCCATCTGCCACGGCCCGCTCCCTGCCTGGTGACCACCCGCCAACCCTGGATGGCGGGCAGCCCGCCCTGCTCCAGCCCCTCTCCTGCCCCACCACGGCCACTGTCGCCGCCTCCCCGGGGTCCCGCACCTACCCGCCCTCAGCTGCCTCCTCACGCCGCACCGTGGGGGGATGGGCCGCTGGGCTCCGGGCGGTGCGGTCGCCTGGGGCCCTGACCCTGCCGCCCCGCTGCCTGTGCCTGTCCAGGCCCCCTTCCCGGACGGCGCTCCTCCTCGTCCCTGTCCCGTCCTGCTCTCAGCCCACTCCCTGTCCGCCCCCGACCCGTCCATGTGTGCCCGCGTGTGCACACGTCCTGTCTGCTGCGTCATCATGGCCTCGTCGCTGGGTGGGCCCACGGTTATCCCCCTCATTACTATTGGCACGCGTCCCCCGAACCCTGAAGAGTAGGCGGCTTCTCCCACTCCGAGGTTCCCAGCCCCCTGCCCCCTTCGCCAGACCTGGCTCGGGGCTCAGCCTTGTCTGAATGGACGGTCACCTTCCTGAACACGTTCTCACTTGGGCCCAGGCTCCAGCCTCCCCCACCCTCCTGAGGCTGAGACGACTTCCAGCCCCCCCAGCCAAGCAGTCCAGGCTCCCGTCCACGTGTGCCCCCCGGGAAGTCCACGAGACCTCCAGCTCTGCAGACCCTCCATCAAGCTGCCGCCTCCCCCACCTCAACAGAAGCTGCCTCTGTCGCAGCGCCACCCAGGCCCAGGGCTCCCCTCTCGCGCCTGCCTCACGGCCCGGCCTCGTGGCCTCGGGCTCAGGCTGCGCCTCCTCAATTCTGTTCTCTGCAGACCGATGCTTTGAGGACCTCCCCCAGATCAGCCGCCTCTGGAAGCCGCCAGGAGCATTCTGCCTCGCTCTGACCGAAAGCCAGAGTCCCTGCAGCAGCTGACCCCTGGCTCCCCGAACTTCCTGCTTCAGTCCCCAGGAGCTCAGAACCAGCTCGGCCTCTGGACGGAATGTCTGACGCTCACTGCGGGCTCGGGGTCTGCAGGATGATGGCCCTCCGGTTTGCCAGTCTCCTGGAAGTGGTCACAGTGTGAGCAAGAGCTCACTCAGGTGGGAGTTCACAGGCTGCGCTCTGTCCAGATGTGGGTGCGTGGAGAGGGGGTCTTTAGCAGAGAGTAGATTAAAAGGGGACTCTAGGGGGTCGGCTCTCACGCAGTCTGACCGACGTCCTTCACGAGGAGGACATGGGGACACAGAGATGACACACAGGGTCACGGAAGACGATGGCCACCCACAAGCCAAGGAGCGGCCTCAGGAGGCCCCGAGCCAGCTGACTCCTTGGCCTCGCACTCCCAGCCTCCAGGCCTCCGCACGTGAACCTACTGCTGAAGCCGCCTGGCCTGCAGGGCTTTGCTAGGCGGGCACGGCGGGCAAACAGCCTGGGCTTTGGGGACAGAGACCACGAGCCACCCTCCAGAAGGCCCCGCTGGTGCCCAAGACCCCCAGCTGGCCTGACCCAGCAGCCTGCGGGGGTCTTGGAGGCTGGCACCCTCGGCCAGGCGGGGGATGAAGGCCTGCTGTGGCGACTCGGGGTCTACAATCTGAGCAGCTGATGGCTTCCCGGGTGACAGTCAAGCCCATTAGAAGTAGCTGCTGTCGGCATAGCAACCACGAGCCATCTCACGTACTTTCCAGATTAAAAAAGCTCCCTGCTTCAGGACTGAGGGGAGAAAGATGTAAAAGCAGAGATGAAACTGAGTTCCCAGTGGGAGCGGTTGCCATGGCGCCCTGCTGGCCTTGGAGCGTGTCAGCTACCACGGGGGTCCCTCCCTTCTTGGTGCAGATGAGGGTCTGAGAGGCAGTGAAGACCAGCCCCCCACAGTGCGGGAGGGATATCGCAGCTGTGCTTTAACTAGAGAGGGGAGTGAATAATGAGAATTCGTATTTTGAGAATAACTATACGGCCAATATACAGAGCTGCTCAAAATCTAAACTCTCTGGCTGACGATTTGTTTAAAACGTTTGCTGAAATGCAGTGTGTCTGAGGTGGGGTCTAAGGTCCCACGTCTGAATGTTGGATTGTGGGAAAAGACACGTACCATCCTGTCTGCCATCTTATCCCAGAGACACTGCGTCTGAACCGGCCGCGGGGGACTGCGCTGCGGCTGTTCCAGGGTCTGTATGTTGTGCATCAGGCCTTATCAGAGCCTTTCTTTGTGCCAGAGTCTGAGGGAGGAGGCAGCTGGACCTGAATGAGCAAGGCATGCGGCTGCCATGTGGGAACATCCCGGCAAGGGGACGAAAGAAGAGGTGACGTGGCCCCAGGGCACTGGGCGGGGTGCCCCCCGGAGTCCCGGTGTGGCTGGGCTTTGCCTGTCACGGGGGGTGGGGGCCTGGGGGCGGGCTCGGCGGAGGAGCGTGGCGGAGGTGCGTGAGGACACGCCGCCGCCGCCGCTGCCACGTACTGAGTTGCTGCGGTCTTTCCCTACTGACCTTCTGCTCTTACAGGTCACGCTGCCAGGGGACTTCCCTGGCGGTCCAGCGGTTAACAGTCTGTGCTGCCACCGGGGTGGGTTCGACCCCTGGTCAGGGAACTAAGATCCCACGTGCCATGCAGTGCGTGCGGCCAGAAGTCAAAAAAGCTAAACGAACCGACAAACCATAATGCTGGGCAAACACCTCTGTCCATGGGGCTCTTCGCCCTAGAATTACTGTCTGGGGCGAAAAAGCCCTTTCATGGAATTCCGGAGTTAAAACACCTTCTGACTGGCTCTGTTGCTCTCAGGGGGTGTTCACCGACAGCTCACGAGCACGGCCTTACAGCTTCGCACGTTTGGCTTTTATCACTTTGCTTTTGCTAAAACGAAACAAACCAGAACAACAAAACCCCTAGGAAGCAGAGCTGGCACGAAGCAGCCCTCCATCTTGGTTTTAATTCACATCTCCCTACTTACTAATGGCACGGGATACTTCTCATTTAGCAGACAAAGTTCTTTGACCACCTGTCAGTTGGGAATGAGGCAAGGCGCTTGTATTTCTGAGGTTCTTTTGATGTGGACTTTTCTTCTTGGGCCCCATGGGCTCACCTGCATTGTGTTCCTTACGTGTCAGTGTTCACACCGGATGTGGAGATAGTTCTCTCTAACCCACTGGTTTGTCCAAAATACTGGACTGAATAGTTTTTTGCAGCCATTTTTCCAGTAGTCATGTACGGATGTGAGAATTGGATCATAAAGATGGCTGGGTGCCAAAGAATTGATGCTTTTGAAGTGTGGTGTTGGAGGAGACTCTTGAGAGTCCCTTGGACTGCAAGGAGACCCAACCAGTCCATCCTAAAGGGAATCAACACTGAATATTCATTGGAAGGACTGATGCTGAAGCTGAAGCTCCAATACTTTGGCCACCTGATGTGAAGAACTGACACAGTTCTTTGGAACTTCCTTTTCATTGGAAAAGACCCTGATGCTGGGAGGGATTGGGGGCAGGAGGAGAAGGGGACGACAGAGGATGAGATGGCTGGATGGCATCACCGACTCCATGGAGATGAGTCTGAGTAAACTCCGGGAGTTGGTGATGGACAGGGAGGCCTGGCGTGCTGCAGTCCATGGGGTCTCAAAGAGTCGGACACGGCTGAGCGACTGAACGGCTGCTAAGCCGACAGCCTGCACTTCTGTTCCTGACTCTTGGTTTTAGTGTCAACACGTCAAGAGCCTGGAAGTCATCTGCTCTCACAATGAGGAGAAAGCCGAACGTCCTGAAGCTCTGTGACTCCTCCCAGACCCATGGAAGAGTGGGGGTCACAGCCGAGTTCCCAACCCCACGAAGTTCAAGAGAGGATCGCCGATCACCAGCAGGGGCCGGGAGCTTGCAGGACCCAAGGGGCCCCATCAGTGGTGACACCGAAGAAACGCTGGAGGCTGAGTGGACTCGTTTGAGTCAAAAGCTCAAGGGGACTCGTCTAAGGGGGCCCCACACTCTCCCGAGTTTTCCCTCCAAGCAGTCCACCGGCTTCTCACAGTGAAGACGGGAGCAACGCCGCCTTGCGTGTGACTCGAAGGGCAGCAGCCATCGTGACACAGGCTCGGATGGCCCTCCACAAGCAGAGCCAGCAAGCAAGGGAGAGGACGTTCTCCGAGCTCCGTACTACACACAGGAGGGCAGACCCGGCGGCACCTCCCAGCCTCGCGGCCTCACTGACGGGGGTGGAGAAGCCCCGAGAAGCACTCGTGAGGGTCACAGGCCCCCGAGGAGACGGACACCTAGTCGTGTGATCAGGAAACAGTCCTCCGTCCTCTGCGTCTTCCGCCCCATCAACGGGGTCCTGTGTCTGCAGACGATCACCGCTCAAGGGGCAGCAAGGCTCACGCTGCGCCCATGGAGTCTCCAGGGGAACCCAGGGACAGCGGGGGGACAAGGCCGGGATACTGGAGGACAGCTCAGCTCTGACACTTACAGCTGAGCAGACGGTAAGCAGAGCCGCGCTTCCAGGGAGAAAAACATAAAAACCTCACACTGAAAGCTCCGTCCACCCCAGGGCTACTACCCAACAGATCCACTACACTGCCTTTTAGCAAAAGGTTACCAGTGCACTGGAGAAAAGGAAAGACACAGTCTGACGAGCAAGCCTCAGAACCAGCCCAAGACGTGGAGAGGTTCTGGCCCCACGGGACTGGGAATTCAACACACCTATGGTTACGATGCTACGGTCTCTACTGGAAAATGTGGGCAACGCGCAGCAGGTGAGTGTCAGAAGCAGACAGACAGAAACAGTAAGCAAGAATGGAAGGAAAATTCTAGGGGAGAAAAACCTCTCACCTCTAGACTGGACATCACCGAGTAAAGAAGTCAGTGAACTTGAAGATATGCCTCTAGAAACTTCTCAAGGTAAAACGTGAACAGAGAAAAAATAAGTGGGGGGAAAAAAAAAGGAAGCAGAATGTTCAAGAACTGTGAGACAATTGTAAAAAAGTGCAACGTGTTCACAATGAGGATTCCGGAGGAGAAGGGAGCAGAGAAAAGGGCTAAAGGCATAATGGCTGAGAGTATTCCAAAATTCACGACAGGAAACAAACTGTAACTGCAGGCATCTCGGACGGCACGGGGCGGGTCAATACCCAAAACTCTCTACAGAGGTGTGTATCACACTCAAAAGCAAAGGCAAAGAGGAAGTCGTGAAAGAGGGCAGAGTAAAACAAACAACAAAGTCTCACTGGAAGAGAAACAAGGACAGCTGCCGGGAGCCGGCTCACGAGACCCCACCCGTGACAGGCCACGAGGGAGAAAACCTGACGGGCAAGGCGGACCAGGTTCTCAGGGGTTCCGAAACGCTGCCCCCGGCGCTCACCTTAAAGATGACCTCTGTCTTTCTGGTGCCTGCCTCAATGCACTACTCCCTAATTTCTGTGACACAGGCAGAAGGCCTTCCCCGATCTCTTCCCAAATAAGAATCAGTTTAGAACTTTAATCAATAAGTTTCCCGGGTGGTGGTATTTTATGAGATTATCCAGGGTGAAAGGAGTGTTTTAATTTAAACTCCTTTGCTGGCATTCTAGTTTGTTTGGCAAATGCGTTTATGCCCTTGGTACTAATACGCATGACTGCTTATAATACCCTCATCATAAAACAGCACAAAGAACCTGATCATATAAAGGCCCAAGTAGACATAGAGCCCTTCGGGGAGTGAGGAAGCCCTATTAGAAAACACAAGAAAAATTATTCTAAAAGTGGTTATTGGGTTAACGTTTTCTTGCTGTGTTTTTGCTTAATGTGCCAAGGTTGTGTTATGGAAACCACTGTTAATATAGTTATAGATCTAGAAAAATAAGAGCTTAGCCCTAGTGTGGTACCAATGAGACGGTTGTTAATTGTCAGCCAGGAGTGCTAGGCAGAGGCTGCCTCACTGAAGCCACAGAGTCTGTGTGGAGTAAACCTCTTAGATAAACACAACTGACAACTTCTGCAGAAGGATTAATTTTTGTGTTAACAAGGTTATACTTCTACTCTGTACTGTTGCCCTATGAGACTGCTACCTTTCAGTTAAGGTCACCGTAGAAACAGAAAATAGGTTTACATTCACCTGACTTGCATAAAATGTCAATAGGCCCCAAGGCCAGAAGATAATGTACAAGACCCTCATAAACAAAGAAGTATGCAGAAAACACCCTGGTTTCGTGAAGGACAAGCTGACGTAATGTTAAACTATCTTCCCCTTAGAAATGTACCAACTTAGGGTATAAAAGCCACGGTAAAAAACAAAGCATTGCCAGACCCTGCCAACACCCCCATCTGGTCACTCTCTCTCTCTCTCTTGCTGACACCATTCATCCTGAGGGTACCCCTGCATCCTGCTGGCGCTGGACCCCAGCAGACAGGAATTACAGTAGACTTTAAGAAATTAAAAAAAAAATTTTGGTGTGGCAGGCCTTAGCTAGGGCACGCGGGGCCTTTTGGTTGCGCGTGAGGGGTCTGTTCACTGACCAGGAGTCGAACTGCCCGTGGTGGGCAGCAGTCTTCGCCTCTGGACGCCAAGGAGGGCCCCCAGGCGCCACTTCCTGGCTGAGCAATTCCGTGACCGAACGGTGCAGCGCAGAGCCCTTCTTCACGGCCTGTTGAGTGCGCTTCAGGGGGCGCCCTGGGCGCTGGAGGGCCACCTGTACCTAGGGGGCCACTGGACGGTCCCCCCAGCCAACCCGCTGGCTGGGCTGCCCTGGAGGGGGGCCTGAGCCCCTCAGCTTCTTCCTCCACGGCAGCCAGGCCCACAGGAGGCCGTGGGCTGGTGGGGCTGGAGCAGCAAGGCCACCCTCTCTCGCGTGGGAGACCCCTGTGACCTGGACTCTCAGCCCTGAGGCCCCCAGAACCAGGCACATGGGTACACCTGTTACCTTGGGGTGGAACCGAAGGCAAAGTCGAGACACAGCAGGGGTGTGTGTGTTTGCGTGTGTGTGCATGGGTGTGTGTGTGCATGCATGTGTGTCCCCAAGGGCTGAAGCACCTCTGCCACGGGGATGGGGGCTCAGACCCTCATCTCTTCTCCCCCCACCTCACTGCCTGCAGACCGCGCTCTCTGGCTCTGGGGGGCCGGGGGCGGGCAGCAGACCTCCTCGTGCACAGCCGGCGCGGGCAGGTGGGGAACCCACGCGCTGCCACCCGCAGGCCGCCCCGAGGGAAGGGACCCCCGATGTCACCCAGCAGGTATCTTCGCCCTGTGGGGGTCTGCCTGACCCCCGCCCAGGCCCCGAGGCTGTTCCAGGACTTCCCGTCCCTTTGGAGCAGCTGAGCAGCCCCCCGCAGGCGGGCAGTCCTGGGGGTGGGGGCCCGGCCCCATCTGGGGAGGCAGAGGTGGGGCCCCCACAGCATCAGCCGCCTTGTCGTCCTCCTCACTTCACCCCCGCGCGGCTGTTTGTTTCAGGGAATGAACTCAGTGGCAGGAACCCCCGGACCTGTCTGGAGACCCCCCGCACCTCCTGGGCAGGGCGGGCCCCACCGATCCCCTTGGACCCTGCCTGGCCCAGCGCGTAACCGCAGACACACATCTACGAACGAGGCAGCTGCCCCTGCGGGCCCTTGCCGGCCGGCGCCAAGGCTGGCCGCTCGTTCTGTCCTGACGAGCTCATCCCAGCCGCCCCCACCCGCGCCCAGACCTCCCCGACATTCCTGCGACAGGAGGGCGACACAAAGACGCTTGCCTGCCAACTCCGGCAGCGTGGATGCGTGAGTGCAGCAGAGGCTTTCACAAGTGACCCAGACCCTCAGTTCCTCAGCGAAGGTCTGCACGGCCTCCTGGCTCACGCCCCGCCTGTGGTTGTTACGAGTCCTGCTCCCTGGAGAAACCCTGCGCGCCCCCCCCCCCCGAGTCAGCCAGCTCCCCAGGCTCATGGCCGGGAACACTCCAGTAGGGAGGTCAAGTGTTCGCTGCTTTGAGAAAGCAATGAACCGCGCCCAGGGTGGGCGGCCAGCTTGCATGCACCTGGACAGCCGGTCAGCAGACCGCCCCCATCCCCATCTACACAGGCCCCCACCTGCCCCCAGCACCCGTGCCGCGCCCCACCCCGGCGCCCGCCCTCTCTGGTCCCCCAGCGTTCCCACTGGCTGCCCTTGGGTCTGTGAAAAGGGGGTGCTGGCTCCCCTTACCTTGATCCCCAACACCTCTTTCCAAGTCAGCGGCCACGGCAGGAAAGGGCGGGAAGCGGTCCTCAGACACTGCCCAGCCCCGGCCGATTTGGGACAAAGCGCCCGCGTCTGGCTGGTCCACGGGAAAGCACCCCGATGCTGGCCGTGAGCACACAGTGCTGGGATCAGAATTCCTCAGGCTTGCATGTTAAAAGGAATTAGGAAGCAAGATGAAGGGGAAGGAGAAAACAGAAAATCACTCGCCCAGACATCAGTGATTAAAGGTGCTTTAATTTTTAAAAACTATTAATTTGGCTACGCTGGGTTTCCGCTGTGGCACATGGGATCCCGCTTCCTGACCAGGGATCGAACCTGGGCACCTGCATTGGGAAGCGCAGTCTCAGCCGCTGGACCACAGGGAAGCCCCCGACACCGTCAGTCCTGCAGTGAGCTGCCCCTGCCCGTTTTCTGCATCCACAGCACGGCGTGGCTCGAGGCCCTGTGGCGAGTGAGGGCCGCCCAGAGTCTCCCCATCCCCCGAGAAACAGCTGGCAGTGGCTCCACTCTGCCACCAGTCGGCTCTCACATCCGTTTTGCCCGTGCAGACTCGGGGAGCACCACGGCGCGCCGGACGCAGGTCCTCTTGGCCTTTTCCACCTGGAAGCCCCTCCCTCTGCAGCTGGTAGGGTCTGGCCCCGACCAGGCCCCGGGCCTCTGCCAGCAGACGCGCTCATCAGCTTCAGGGCTGGGAGGAGGAGGGCCACTGGGCTGGACTCTTCCAGGGCAGTCCACACCCAAGGGGACGGGCCTCCCCCTGGCCCTGCAGGGGACCCAGCCGGGCCCCGGAGCCCGCCTGCCTCCCCGCAGGCTCGGCTGTGGCCGCACCTGGCTGCCTGGGGGGCCGTCGGCCGGCCGCCCCTCCTGGTCCCGACCTGCCTGCCTGAGGGGCGCCCGCTGATGGCCTGGCTCTGCCGGCCGGCTCTGGCCCAGGCCCGTGGGACCGCCCCTCCTCACCAGGCGGGTGCCCTCACTGGGACAGACATGGCGGGAACCACCACCCCGTCCAAGGACGACTGTGTCCTCAGCTGCCCTTGGCGCTGAGCTCCGCCCCCGTGGCCCTGGTCTGCCTGGACACAGCCCCCGACCGGCCTCGGGTGCCCCGTCCCGGCGCCCCTCCACCGGGACCCTCTGCGGTCACGGTCAGCCCCGGACGCTCCAGTCCTGACTCAACACAGGGGCCCGGGCCGGCCGAGCGGCTGCCCACACTACGGGCCAGACAGGCCGCGCCGCTGCTGGCACAGGGGCCCGTCGGGACGCCTGTGGGAGGCTGGGGTCGTCAGGCTCCTGTGTCCACTCAGAGCAGGGCCACCTGAACCGCTTTCTGAGGGACGAGGACGGCAGCGAAGCGTGTCCACCTCTGCGGGTACAGCCGGTGCGACACAGCACCGCAAACGCCCGCCACAATCCCCGCCGTTCCCCGGAGGCCGTGGTTCTCCTCGCAGCAGACACCGTGGGGAGGTCCACAGCACTGCGAACGAAGCCGGGAGGCACAGGAGGGCCTGCCTCTCGCTTGGAGGTCCCCTCGAGCGGGAGAGGCGTGGCCCCAGGCCCGCCGGGACCCCCGCCGTCCACAGGCCGCTGCACGACGCCCCGCAGGGCCCGGAGCCGCATGGCCCACAGTCCCGCCCGTGCTCTGCTCTGGTCTGGAGAGACGTGGCCGCCGATGGTGAAGGAGACGCGGGGAGAGGCAGGGCCTCCCCAGGCGAAGCTCCGGGCCGCCGCCGCCCCCAGGAGCAGTCAGATCGGGAGACACACTAGCCAGGGCAGCGTGCTCAAGGGCCAGACGGCGTCCCATCCTCACCTGGGGTTCCAGGTGACTAGACATGCACGGTGCTATTTTTGGTAACATGGACACAATTTAATGATTCTAATTTTTTTGTTTTTTTGTTTTTTTACAAGTCAGGTGCCGTAAGCATTCAAATAATCCATCTTTTAGAAAGTACGTTTACAGCATCAAAAGAATTAAGATGAAATATAAACCTTTCTACTTACAAGTTTTATACAGATTAACCAAATCACAAATACCACAAATAAATGTTAAGTTGTAACAATATAATGAATAAACATTCAGATTCTTAATAAAATCTTCCTTTAACATTTGTTTTTAACTTACCATTGTACTAAGTAATCTATGCAGAACTTGGGGTACAACACCAAGAAGGCACCCACAGTGCAGAGCAGGCAGGAAGCAGGTTTGGACCTTTCTCGAGTGCTCCACGCGCAGAAAGCGCAGGGACGGCGCGCTCCAGCGGAGCCCATGCGGGAGGCCCTGGGTCCCTCTGCTGGACACACCTCTCATCTGCGCTAAGAGGGTCACATTTCAAACACCAGCACAATTTTAAAGCACGAACGCTTTAAAATGTATAAGCAGAAGGACTGCTCAGACTTCCAAAACCACTACATTTACAAAAATATTTCCCTTAAAAACTTGGGATTGTCCAAAACACTGACTTACAAATATAAAAGTATGATGGAAGGGCCTAAAGCACATGTGCATATGTACGTGTGTTAACATACCGTCACGTACCATAGAAAAGTTACCAATTTAAAACCGTATTAACACGTTAGCAACCGAAGTTCAGTCTCCTCTGCGCCGTCTGCATGTGACTGGCACACGCGTGTCGCAGGCTGTGCCCCCACCTGCCTCGGGGACAGACCGACCCTGGGCCCTCCGCACGCGGCCGCAGCAGGAGTCACGCGGACATGCCACCAGCTGCAAGGGCCTTCCGCCTCACCCGCGGCCCGCACGGCCGTCTCGCGCGCTCGCAGGCCCGCCCTGCTGCTGTTAGGAGTTCTGTCTCATACTCACTGAAGGGACTGGAATGTTTCAACAGGAATTTTTTGCTTACGTTTTAGACACCAAGAAAGCCACCGGCCCCAAGCTGAGGGGCAGGGGGCAGTCACAGCGTGAATTCACGTGACCTCACGCGCACGTTTCGAGAGGCGCAGGAAGACCCGACGGGTGAGCCTCACACACCGCAGCCAGAGCTCTTCACAGGCGCCTTGTGTAGACAACTCCCTGACCTGCTGAACCAAGCTTGGCATGACTAGTAAAAGGCTGCAGGGATGTCAACACAGGGTTAGTGGTGTCCTGCCCACCGGACCCCTGGACAGTGAGGGGCGGGGAAGCCTCCAGCCCGTAGGGGTTAGTAACCAAGGCTATGGCTTTCTGTCTGGTTAGCGAACTGCAGATTAACCTCCTAACACTACTTTGGAATGTTAGTAGTCAGCACAGAGCAGCAAAGCAAGAGACCGCAGCTCCTTTTTAAGATGAACCCAGGGCCACCGGAGCCCTGTCTCTCTCGGGCCCGCGGGCCTTCACTTGACGGCTCTGCGCACGGAGGCAGAGCCACGACTCCCAGGGCCAACGCCCAGATGCAGTTCTGGTCTGCGGGGGAGCCCAGCACGCCAGGCCCTCCTGGCGCTTGACTGGGACACAGCAACCCTCCAGGAAGAACCAGGGAACCCAGCTTGCGACTTCTGGGCTGCGTCCTCAGAGTCTGACAGAACACTGCAGACCTGTGATCTGAGGACAGAGCCATGTCAGAACTGATGCCCTGCTGGGTGGAGGGAAAACCCTCCACAGTGCTGTCTACATCGCCTCACACAAACCAGAGTGCTCGGCCAGCGCCCAGCAGGGAGGGGACCAGCGGGCTTGCTGCTCTAAGCACAGCCTGCACGTGACTGTTGGTTCGGACCCCATGATCCAGAGGAAATCAACACTGAATCTTAACGTGAACACGGAGATAGAGGACGTCCGTTTATTTTCAGGAATGACAAGTGCATTTCTGTTCGTATTAGCAGGCAGTCTTTATATAACCCATTCTCCACTGCTGTCAAAAACCAAACAAGAAAGAAAGGACAGCTGAGAAATGAAAAGCTGAAAACCGAGTGACTTTTCCTAAGTGATCTGCTGGATAGCATTTTCCGTGGAACACAACTCAGAGGTAACAACAGAGTTTTCGTTTCAACCACAGGCTTGTGGCACTTGGACTCATCTCCGCACAGAAGCTGTAACAGTCATGCGAGGGAACAATGACGGCAGAACAGGCAGAGTTCTGAGCACGGGCACGCGGGGGCGCCGGCACGCGGGGCCGGGAGGGTGGGCGGGCTCCACGCGGGCGCCCCAGGCGTGAGCGGGCCCTGGCACAGGCTCCCCAGGCTCTAGCACACGGTCACACGGGAAGTGGAGGATGAACTTGAGATGCTGACATGCTGCAGGAGGAAAGGAAGTGTACAACAGCTGACCCCCACCGGCCCTCAGGTGTCGGGCGGGCGCCTGGCGGCCTGCGCCCCTTACCCGATCCCGGGGAGCCGCCTCTGCTGCCGGGACTCCTGCGAGTGGGCAGGGCCGCGTGTGACGCGTCCTGCAAGTGCTGTGCTCTCGCCGGGGCAGGTGAGCTGCAGGCCTCCTCCTTCTGTTTGGAGAAGAGACAGTGCTCTGCCCCTGACGCCCGTGAGGCATCAGCGGGATGTGAGGTGGCAGGAGTGCAAAGGGGGCCGTCACTGCCGCAAAGCGCCCGGGAGACGGGGCCGGCGGGAGCCAGGGCGGGACGCGGGGGGGGGGCGGGGGGCCGCAGCATCTCCCAGAGCAGAAGGCGGCCAGTGACTGAAGCAAGGTGGGCGGGAGGAGCCCTGAGGGACGCAGAGCCGCGGGTCACGGAGGCGACGCACACGGGGCCGGAACGGCGCCAACGGCGCTCTGGCCGCAGGGAGTTCTTTGAAAGCACAGAAGCCGCCCCTCCGACGGCTCAGAGGAGTCAGGTGGACACGCAGACGGGCTGGGGACGGGCGGGCCAGGAGCTGCAGGAGAGCCGCGGGGTCTGCATGCCGTCCTTGGGCCCGTGTCCTGTGGGGAGACAGACAGACCGTCCGTGAGCCACGGACGCGCCACGGGGAAACCGCAGCGGCAGGAGGACAGAAAAGCGTGAAAGCAGAAAACACTCCTGCAGCAAAGGCCGCCTTCCCGCAAGGTGGGGGCTCGCCTCCCGCCCCGGGGCACCTGCCCTCAGACACCCCCCGAGGCCTCCCCGGGACGCGGGAAGGCTCGCACCCTGCCCCACCGCCGGGCTGGCGCCATGCTCCTGGACGCCCTTCTTTGGCCACAACTGACAGCACGTGGCGGGAACTGCTTCCCAACCAGCGGTCGAAGCGGCGCCCCTGCATCTGAGGTGTGGCTCATGGGGAAGCCTCCCAGAGGCCTCTGATTTTTCCCTTTGGTTTATTTGTGGCTGCGCTGGTCTCTGCTGTGGCATGCAGGTGTCTCCAGCTGCACTGTGCGGGCGGGGTGCCTTTCACCAAGCGGCACTCCACCCCGGGACGCACACGTCTTGTAAATGCTCTGGACGGGCAGGCGGCCCAGAACCACTACACGGGCACAGCTGGCGCTGCCTTAAATGCCCCAGTTTTCTTTGCCCAAGCATGACCAGCACAGCCATGGGCTGGTCGGAGGCGCGAGGCTGGCAGGCTGGACTGGGAAGGGCACAAAGGGCCCCCTGCCACCCCGAGCCCTGAGAGGCGGCCACGAGGGCTCACCAGGCCTCCGGGAGGCCCCAGCACCCCTCTAACATCCTGTCCTACTGAGGAAATCATACTCCAGGTCAAACCCACGCACCCTGCCGACAGACCTGCAGTCTCACTGGGAACAGAAGGACACGGAGAAGCCGTGCGGAACTCCCTGCCCGGCACTCCGATGTCCAAGCCGGCCTGTCCCAAGCATGTCCCAGCAGAGGCCTCAACCTTGTCCTAATTCTTTGCGACACTCACTTCCAGAGTTCTGATACAAGCCCCACTCTCTCTCCTTCCAAAGAGTCTCTAAAACTGAGATCAGTGTTTCCTCTTTTTGAGCACTTTTAAAAAAAACCAACCGGGACTTCCCTGATGGCCCAGTGGCTAAGA